ATCCATTCAAAGAGGGTGGCAAGAATCTGGATAAATGAAGCAAGAACACCACCAATAGCAGCAGAAGCCCATCTAGACGATGCAAGTGGTTGTTGATTGATAGTTTGAACGTAATGCTTTGTGTATAACGTTGGGGAGTTGTAAGCAGTGTACATCCAGTAAATGGTTCCGTGAATAATCCAAATTCTGTTGAAATTGGTAACAAAATGCAACCAGGTTCTGATTTCTTTATAAGTCTTGAAGAAAACATTACTCCATTCGACTTCACCTAATTTCAAATAACGCTCCTCTTTTGGAATATCTATCAATCTTGTACCATCAGTGAACATGATTCTTGAGATACCTTCAGGGTACCAAAACAATTGATTGACATCGTCGTATCCAATAACCTTGTTGTGATCCTTTTCACGCTTGACAAATCTACCTTCGTAAATCTCGTACACTTGTGATCTGAGGAATCTGTACAATGGAGTGATGACACGGTTCAAGTAATCACCTTCTGGAACTGGTTCCTGTCTTTGTTGACACAATGGAGATTCCAAGTAGTCAACGGCTGTTTTGTAAAGGTAACACAAACATTCTGGTGTAAAACGAACTTGGTTAGCTTCACCCCATAACAACAAGTAAAGAGCAATATCACGGACCCTTTCTTCTGGAGATAACGTGTTCATCTTGGACTTCCATTTGATCTCTGCAGCCTCTAATGAATAGTCACCTTCCAATTCGTTAGCCAATGCATCTGCATCTTCTCCGTGTTCTTGAGCGGCTTTTCTAGCTTTCTTGGATTTCTTGGAAGCCTTTCTAGCTTTTCTTCCAATCTTACCCAAGGTCATGTTGGCGAATCCCAAGGAGTCATCCAAATCTTGTTGTGAGGAAAAGAACCATTTTCTATAATTTGCATTGTCTCCTCCAATGTAATCAGCGTGTAAACTCAACAAAGCTTGGGCAGGAGCCATACGGGAAGATCTTGAATCCAACAAAGTCATAAAGTAGTCAAACATATTTCTCATTGAATCTCTTTGGAAACCAAACTTGTTAGTCAAATCAATGAAAATATCTTCAATGTGTTCAATCTTGATTGGTGCTTGTGGATCAGCTGACCAAGCTGGATATGGCAAGTTGGATGATACTTGAAATTGAGTTGGATCGTAACCTTGACCTTGAACACCGTAGATTGGTGTCGAGGCTCCAGAAGATCTTGGATCACCACCATAACTCATCTGAGATGGGGTGTATTGAGTTCCATATTGGTCATAGCCTGGAGTTCCTGGAGCTTGGCCGTTGTAGCTGAAATCTGAAAATGCTTCTGGATCAGCACTGTAGCCTTGCGCATTAATTGGATGTGCACCATACTGGTTTGGATCGTTGTATCCATCCATGTCATATGGCTGTTGTTGATATTGCGCATTGGGGTCGTAGTAGTCTTGGTGTTGCGGTTGCTGATTCATCTCATCATATGGTTGTTGATTCATATCATATGGCTGTTGATAGTACCCATCGTTAGGCACACCACCCTGTTGATTAGGATCGTAATAGTTGTGATTATTATCGTTGTACGACATCTATAACCTGTTAGTAATACTCTCCTTCTAAGTGCCGGGTTTAGTATTTTAAAGTGAAAGGAAAAGTCAAAGTAATACTTGTGCTTTAGAAAACTGAAACTGGTAAGATTTTGGGGTTCTGCAAAGTCAAAAAAAAGGTAAAATTTTTGTTTGTATAGCGAATGTCTTGAGTTAGGAATCTGTGAAATCTGACTATTACTGTGAAAGTCTCTCTCGCTTCCACTATACTTGATCCTTGGTGTAAATCACAGTATTGAGCAAACAAGTTGTGTTTGAAGTAAAAGATGTAGTGAAAAAAGGTAAAAAAAATAAAATGCCACTTAGGATGCTTTTCCAGTCTCTTTTATTCTTCCATAGCCCGATTTCAGATGTCTAATTTTTTTTTTTCTTTATTCTTTTCTTTTTAGGTAACACACACCACAGAAACAGAAATCTCCTCCTTATTAAACTCAAAAATTAAAGTACAATATAACTTCCTCGAAGTAAAAAAAATGGTCCACACACACACACAGAGACACACACATAACCCTATTAAACCATTAATTGGATAAATCGGGTGGATTTGGTAAATTTTTGATCCAGATATGCAAAATGGGTTATAATAATTTTTTGTGTAGCATATGTTTGAAAGGAGTGAAGTAGTGCATAGCAAACATAAAAATTTCTTTTTCTTTTCTTTTTTTCCTTCGATTTGTCTGTGTCTCATCATATTTTGCAACACGATAGAAAAACTTCAACTACCTGCGATGTATTGTAGTAACAGTAGGTAGCAAATTGTTCATCGAAAGTCCTTGTTATTTGTAATTACTTCCTTCATTTCTAAGTGCTTTGAAACATTACATAGTGAAGCAGATGCAAGCAGTTGACGTATAATAAAACAAAAGAACAATAGTAGTGCAATGGTTAAATTCCTGCACATAAATGCAATAGTTAAAAATAACTTTTTGTTGTTGTGGTGCGTGTTTTGTTGTGTAACTATGTGTCTCCCCTTAAAAGACAGAAAAACTATTGAATCAAAATTGAACAATTGCACACTACTCTCCATTTGGGGGCAGTGAACTCACGAAATCAAAAGTATATCCCATCAACAGCAAGTCAAACTTTGTCTATAGACTAACTCCGCCAATATATATGTGCTTGTGTGTGTTTGTAGTTTACCTATATCTGATATCTTCCAATATTCTCCTATCTGTATTTGACATCCTTTTCGAAATCCCTCTGAAATACTAATCTTGTGAAAAAATACATACCTTTAATAATTCCCTGAGTCTCTATCTCTCTCTGTCTCTCGTTGTCTGGCAATTGTGACCCTTTAGCGAATGAAATGACTTCGATGATTTAGTAGTAGATGGGAATGATCTAAATAAAGATGTGGTGGTAGTGGTGGTTGATAATAAGATGTGGTAGTGAAAAGAAGAAAAGAAGTGAAAGAAGAATAAAAAAAAATGTTTAAAGGATCAAGAGATATCAGAAATCTCAAAATCGGTTGAAAAAAGGAAAGAAGGAAAAGACGGGTTTCAAATTTTTAGCTCCAGCTGTTGTTAAACTAATTCCAGATCAATAAGAAAAACAATAGCTATGCTTACACACAGACTGTCTCTCTCTCCCTTGAGATGTTAGTTTCAAGTAACAAAAGCTAAAACAATAGACCTTTTTTTTTCTATTCAAGTGGTATTTGTGAAACATCACAACAGGTTCAAAAATATAAATGTCAACAAAATCAAACAATACAATAACCAATTGTAACTGAAGGAATTTTAACGCCAAATAAACTACAATTAGAGAGAAACTATTAAGAAAACACACATTGAAAGATATTGAGCGCATCGCGTATGGCCACGCCTGTTTGTGTACTTCCAACAACTAAGTATCAATACTATACTTGGAGGGCCCCTTGTAAGAGAAAATTTTTTGATGAAGATTGTCGTTTGATTTTGTGGCCGCATTTAGCTTTCCTAAATCTTATACGAAGGATTCATCGAGACGCGCTTTTAGCTGATCATCGTCATGTATTTAGTTGGAGACATGTAAACTCGACACTAATTGTTACCGTTTCGGTCCCACTAGAGATTAATTCCGACGCCTAGATTTGTCTTCTGACTCTTTTGCACGCGAGATTTGTCACTTATAATAACGGATACAGATAACAAAACGGTTGTAAAAGTTTGCCAGCGAACTTTGTCCCGAAATACACACAAGCTTTGAAGAGTAACTAAGGGTTAGAAACTACAAATGGAAGTGTCCTAAATCTCAAAATCCTGCTACATACGTAGAGATAAAGCTTCGAGGGATGAGCGAAAACTCTTCCAAGATAAATTGGACGACAGTAAGACTTAACTCCTCGGCTTAAGCAACATATTGAAAACTAAGAACTCTGATTCTCGGTGCAAACTAGATTTAGCATTTGATAGTCAAATCGACCAGTGTTTACAGAGAAACTAAGCCACACTGAAATCAAATCGATTTTATTTTTTAAATGCAGAAAGAAAGAAAAAAAGTTCACGCTGAAACACGAGAACATGCCCCTTTCACAATTGAAAAAACGCGTAACCTTCGCCACCATCAAATACGTTTCACTTCTTGCTATGAAACCAAACTTTTCTCAAAACTCAGTAGACCAACTTGATCACTGGATGTTATAAATGACAACTTCCTCCTTGCAAAGATCGTTTACTCCTTTATCCCTTCTTCCAAAGACAAGTAGGTCGTGTAGTGGTTGATTTGAAAGCAAATATGCAGAGACTGCTATTCTCAAATTGTTCTTTTTATTTCTCTCTTTTACTCGAGGTTGAGCATAATATCATATTTGTGTTTCTAAAACCGTGCGTGTCGTTTTCCTAAAAATAATACAAAAGACAATATATCCCGCCTTAAAAAGCTTCGTGTCTGTGTCGTGTCTGATTTTACAAATAAAAAGAAACGCGAACTGTCGAGAAGTGATTCAAAAATGGCAATTACTTTTCCCAAATAGGAAGGTATTGTTATTCTTGTTTTTATGCTTTATGTACACTCCCAACAAGGCGTTGATTGCTGTTGAGGAATTTGGAATATTCTTATAGGGCAACCGCTGTGTGTCGAATGTTGGAACACGGCCACTGCAAAGGTATGTAAAGCCCTCGAACTCTAGAACACTCGGCTTGCCTACAACCTCTTCCTAATGTACACAGCATCGCTCTTTTTATTCTTTGAATATTTTCCTCTAATAAGATCGGTTTTATTTTGCCACTATTTTGTGCGAAACTGGGTGCCAAAGATTAGATGCAACTACATAAAACCATCTTGAACCTCTTGGCACAACTGCATTTCAAACGCAAATCACTCCCAATTTCTAATCTTACGTAGAGCTTACATTAAAGTAAAGTAGATAAAAAAAACTGCTAATGTCTAATAATAAGCATGAAAAAAAAACACACTCCACTATTTCAATTACTTACATTGTTATTCAGTCCATCCTAATGTCAGCAATTCAGATCTGATCTCGTCTTCTTTTGAAATCTTAATCACTTGGGTATCCTCTAAAGGTTCACCTCCAGCCTGCTTCATCTTCAATTGCTCAATCGCCCTCAACTTTTTCAACAACGATCTAATTTTCTTCTCCTCAACTGAAACAATACCTCCAATAACACCTGCACCTGCTTCTGCAGAAGCAGTATCAGAACCATTTCCAGTACCAGCATTACCCGACAGAGCTGGGGCTGGAGATTCTTCTTTCGACTTTTTAGCCTCTCTTTTTTTTCTATTCTTGGCGGCAGCCTTACTTTCTTTCTCAGCGACGGGAGCGGCACCAGGTACGGTTTTGACTCTTCCAACACCATTCCTTGACAAGCCCGGTGGGGGAGGAGTGCCACTCTTCATGTTATTTTCAAGTTCCTTTTGATACAAACTCGAAGCAGAGCTCAGTGAAGCACTTCCTCGTGCATGTGGCGGACGATACGCACCAGCGGGTTTCTTGGCAGCCGCATTTGCTATGGCCTCGCGTTTAGCAGTGTATTCTTTAGCAGATTCGTGCACTTCTGGAGCTGGCTCTAATGCCCTTAATGGTGGGAATTGCGACAAATCTTGTGGTTTCCATCCAATTGAGTACAATTCGGGAAACTCTTTCAAATAAATGAGCTTACCACTTGCATGCCATACTTTCAAACCATTATCAACTCTCAATCTTGGTGATGTAGTAGCAGTCAAGATAAACCTACCACATGGCGACCATTCACAAACCGAAGTGTTTGAAGCTTCGAACGAGACAACTTTGGCAAACTTGTTTTGACGATCATAAACGTCAACAGTACCTTGCAAGTTTCCAAATCCCGCAACCAACACAAACTTGGCGTGAGGTGAATACAAAATAGTATTTCTCGAAGCTGTAGGCAATGAATGAATGGCATTTCCTCTAGCATCAAAGAACGTAGTCTCAGAAGGCATATACCCGTAAGAAACGGCAAATTCACGGGCAGTTGGCGACCACGTAATATCATGGATTGGTCCCTCTTTCGTCAAGTCGATTCTCGAATTGTACGACCCAGCAATACCCAACAAATAGAGGTTTGTTTCACCATAATAAGACTTGTTCGAGGTGTCATGATCAGTTGATGCCAATGCTAATAATGCAGTACCCAAAGAGTTCCAGGTCAATAAACATCTCTCGGCTTTGAAAAAATTTTTAAAACAAACTGGTTGGTTGAAATTAGGGATGTTGTAAATGAGCACGCTGGCAGGTTTACCCGACTTCTCAGGAATAAATACAGCAACACTAGGGTTCTTACCGGGTGAGATTTGGAAATTTTGAAACGTGCCTTTTGCATCCTCTAACTTATATTTAAACGTCGGTTGGTTCATATTGACCTCAGAATCACTTTCAGCCTTGATTTCAAAAAATTGAATCTCACGGTTATTCACTCCTCTACTAAACAATGTTTCTTCACTAGTAAATTGAGGCTTCCAGCCGTTTTGGTGCTTAACACTCCATTCAGCGATTATGGCCTTTGACTTGATGTTGAAAATCTTCAAGTTTTTGTTCCAGGTTCCATTTTCCTTGTTCAATAACACCGGTTTGCACCAAAGGCACAAATAAGTCCCCTTTGGAGAAAAGCTCAAATCAAAAACGTCTGGTATTTCAATGCGGTGATAAAGGTTGGCTTGGCTTGAGGTATCCAATATTACAACCTCACTAGGTTGTGTGTATGCAAACACTTGTCCATTCCCAGAGTAAAGAGCGGATCTGCACTCGCCTTGTGCTTTCGGACTAGGGGTTATATCCTCAAAGTCTTGTATGAGTTCCACTGACCTTGGAAAACGACCTACTTAAACGTTAGTAAATTAAATCTCTAAATCAAGTGCAACATGAAATTACATACAGAATAATTCGGTTGATTTCGACATGTTTGCGAGCTAGTAAGTTGAAGCTATGAAATTGTCAATTTAGGAGGTAACTATCTCTTAAAAGTAGCTTCAAATATGAAGTCGTCGTTTTTTTCTCCCGTACAATTGATCTTCTCGAAAACTTCAATCGTGGAATCAGAATTTTTCTTTCTTTCTTTCTTCCTGGTTTTTTTTTTACTTCCCTTGACGTTTTTGTCTGGCCTTACGGCATACAAAGAAACTCCGCTGGATCTATTCAGCCAGAAACTGTCCAATAAATATTCTATATTAAGTTTGCCTTATTCTACCTTAATATATATATATATATATACTCTACTCTATTCCCAGAACTTACTTTTTCTTCACTTCCCCAAAATTTAAATGCCCAGTTTGTTCAGCATGTTTCGATGCACCAAGCTCGCCCACTAGTATCAGATAGCAATCCAAACAGCGCACTCTAAATGTCGTGGTATTCGTACTATAATCCTTTTCCTGTAGCAATTTGCACAACTTTTCTGCAGCTTCAACTATTGCCTCGTCTCTGCTGTCACCGATTCCAAACAAACACTCGTCGTGATCCTTATTTTTAGTCGATACTTCGTTACATAGTGCCAATACGTCATAGTGAATTCCACTATAGATCAACAACATAAATTTAGAAGGCTTCTTTTCTTCATTCTCTATTTTGATGAAATTTCCCAGCTCAATATCAATACAAGTGATTCTGACATCGAACCAATCGGCCAATATGCCTAGTTCAATTGCCCCGCCCCAACTATCCTTCTTCAAAATCCACCTGCAATAATCATCCCGAGGTCGACCCAATACTGTATCAGAATACAATAATGGGTCCCTGTTTACGTAGTCAACCACCACCTTTCTCAATTCCTGCGGTGGCGAAAATGTCGTATAAGAATCGTGTCCCGAAATTGCGTACGATATTGAATTGAATAAACAAGAATTGTCGTCAGGAATGTTTCGTAGTATCAAGTACTTGCTCTCCAGCTCTATGTAAATAGCAGGGATATCTTCTTTCAAGTCTCGTTTCTTGTTTGTGGCAGCTTGTGTTGTCACTGCGGGTTTGTTCAAAAGAGCAGCACCTGAGTTTGCCTCCAGCTCCGGTGACAACGGGCGCTTATTTGATACGAATGTAATGCTCAATTGATCACCATCCTTCACATGCTTATCTTGTAACTTTGTCGACGAATCATATGTCAAGTCAATGGGCTTTGGTGGAAACCCGGTTTTGATCACACTTATTGATTCCGAGGTATCAGTATGTAGATTACCATTCGCTTTTATATCGGCAAGGAAATCTTGGAACAATCTGTCTGGATCAGCCTGTATCGTGGAAACCCCAGTATCAGATTTGAGTTTCAACCTCATTTAGGTGCTGCGAAGTTTGTAATAGCGGTGTCGACGGAAAGAGTCGATTTTTGTTGTTAATTAGTGTACGTTTCCTTACCATAATCAATGCCGCACTAAAATTGTATTTATCCGGATTCCATTTATCTAATCTACACAAACTTAAAGTAACGAAATAGAACATTCTCTTCATGTAGCTGGCACCGAGTGAGCGAGTGTAGTTCTATACAGCTTGTATATAGACATGTGATCACTTGGCACAACTTTTGTAAATCTTTCAGCACCAAAGTTGATTCAACCTGTAAATCGTAAGCCATAACTAGATTCAAGCAAATGTACTATATCCACCAAAAATATCTGAAGCACTCGGTTGGTTAATCCTCAATCTAGCATTTCATTCGCAATTTAGTAATAAATCTGACATGAGGGTTCAAATCCACACATAATGATGCCTTCTCCTCAAGAAATAAAAAAAACAACAACTCCTCCATAGACAACGCAGTAACTCAATTTACAAAAACAATGCAGCTATTCCTCCATAATAACTTCTTTTTCAACCACTTCTACGGGAGCCAGCAATCCATTCTCTTGTGTCTGTTGTTGTTGTTGTTGTTGTTGTTGTTGTTGTTGTTGTTGTTGTTGTTGTTGTTGTTGTTGTTGTTTCTGGAATTCTTCTGATGGAACTCCCGTAATCAAAGCATCCAAGGTATCCTTCTTCTGATTGTTTGCTGCTTCATATACGTCTTTATTTGCTGTTTTAAATTGCTCCAATTCTTTATACTTCTCCACAGACTCAACGAATTTTGTCATGTTCACACCGCCAGCAGCCTCTGCTTCCAACGGAGTATACGGCCTCTCCTTGAGAAGCTTGACTCTTCGTTTATGAATCTTTGACTTTTGATGTCTGTCCATACTTATTTGATTCTCAAAGTATTTGGCACATTCTATGCAATAGTATTGCCCCAAACCGGGTTTATATTCATCCAACGGTTGGTTCTTCAACTTGTTGATAGAGTTTGGAGTAGCTAAGTCGTTGTAAATAAGGTCCAAGTCCCGCGTTCTTCTCTTTGTCTTGTATCTTTTAACACTATATCTTCCCATATCTGAGCTCACTTGTAGGCCTAAACTTGTGCTGCACATTTGTGTTCCTCCTTAGAACGATGAGATGAGTTTGGAATCTCTCTACCGCGAGGGCTTGTAGCCCTATACACGTGATCAAGCAATCTTTTTTCTCATACTACCCACTCAGTATTGTCATGCGCATGCACAGACAAACAAAAGTTAGAAAAAATTAATAATCTGAAATATTCACCAACACCTTCTCACATCAACTAAGGTTAACGAAGGTATGTGAGACAACCTCGATATAAAAAATGGAGCATATGGAATGGATTCAGCAGTGGGTAAATAGTAAGACCCGAGCTGTGTCGAACACTCTTCCCATAGGGAAGATGACATCCAATTAGGATGAGTGACAAAAGTTATTTTCGATTTGTAAGCAAAAAATTTGCCTCATTACAAAAGTGAAACTTATAAATATTTGCCAATTCCCACTCCAACATACAAACTTTGACATTATACTAACAATAACTTTCCAGACAAAATGGCTAGAAGACCAGCTAGATGTTACAGATACTGTAAAAACAAGCCATACCCAAAGTCCAGATACAACAGAGCTGTTCCAGACGCAAAGATCAGAATCTATGACTTGGGTAGAAAGAAGGCTCCAGTTGACGAGTTCCCATTGTGTGTCCACTTGGTCTCTAACGAGTTGGAACAATTGTCATCAGAAGCTTTGGAAGCTGCACGTATCTGTGCCAACAAGTACATTACCAAGGTCTCAGGTAGAGATTCATTCCACTTGAGAGTCAGAGTACACCCATTCCACGTCTTGCGTATCAACAAAATGTTGTCATGTGCCGGTGCCGATAGATTGCAACAAGGTATGAGAGGTGCTTGGGGTAAACCACACGGTTTAGCTGCTAGAGTTTCCATCGGTCAAATCATCATGTCTGCTAGAACCAAGGACTCCAACAAGGAGGTCGTCATTGAAGGTTTGAGAAGAGCTAGATACAAGTTCCCAGGTCAACAAAAAATCATCATCTCAAAGAAATGGGGTTTCACTCCATTGAACAGAGAAGAATACGTTGCTAAGAAGAACAACGGTGAAGTTCTCGATGATGGTGCTTACGTTAAATTCTTGTCAAAGAAGGGTAACTTGGAAGAAAACTTGAGACAATTCCCATACTTCAAATACAACGCTTAGGTGTGTATTTATTATATAGTTTAAGGAACAGAGTTTTTACGTGAAAACATACTTTGTAGAGGAATGCATGTAGAGGTTTGTGCCGTGGATATTGTTACTGTTGGCTTGATGAAAACGGATTTGCGAAGGTTATAACGGTTGCAACCAATTAGAACGGAAAATCATTCTTCCCGCAAGTAAGGCTAAAAATAGGAAAAGGAAAAAAAAAACAAAATGAAAATTATCACATGTGAAATGAAAAGCAAAGCATAACAAAACAAAGTCCGAATAGAGACGACTATTAATAAAGCTTTAGTACTATTGTTAAATCATTCTGATAATGCAATACATGCGTCGTTTTTAATCTTTTTGAAACTATTTATTGTGGTGCATTCCCAAAGATCTAAAAAACTAACCCAATTCGTATACATTTACATCTTTACATTCAGGGGCAAAGAGAAAAAGATTTTCCAATTGAGACAATGTCAACCCCAGACGTACCTGGAAACAGTGACAGTACGATGCCACCACTAACCAACACAGAAAACGACCAAGATTTGTCTGAGAGTATTGGCGTGATTGATGGCAACGAGTCTTGGAACGACTTGTCTTCCCCAGAACCAGAATTGACCATGGTATTGACAGAGTTACGCAATCGATTGCAATCGCAAATACATGACAATGCAGGCCAACAGGACATCACGAATATCACAGACGCAATAGGTAATGGGAATTATGATGAAGTCGTACAAAGATCATTACCGTCCAGCGAGATACCTGAATGGCAAAAGACATTAAGGAGGACGCTAATTTTTATCGGATATACAATCACAACAGTGCTATTTTCAGTTATAATATATTTACATTCCCTTTTAGTCAGGTGCAGTTATGATGAGGAAACATCAACAGCATTGTTAGATGGTGTATTTAGAGCGCAGGAGAAGGCAATTGATGATTATCACAGGAGACGCCGTGGACAGCGAGAAGTAGATGATCATTGAGTTTAATAATAGTACAGGTCGATATCTTTTTTTTTGCAGATGGCAATGTTCTAATTGAACCGATTACCAACTCTATTTTCATGTAAAAGCTCCAGCAAATCTGTTTAGCCAGTCATTTTGTTAAATTGAGCCACAAAATCTTGAGAATTAATTAAAGTACGCGTGTTGCCACGTGAACCAGGGAAAAATGTTGACTAGTTCATTTAGGCAAACCCTTGGTAGAAATCGTATCAAACCTCTATAATACTCTTCATTGCATAGCCAAGCTTATCCAATGAGTTAGTCAAGCTTATCCAGTGGTTATATTCTTCAGCTGATATACATTGGGATATGAAATGGTGGCTTACTTAATCTCTACCAGACACGCTGCAATTAAAAATTATATTCAAAATGTAAGGCACCAAAGAAATTTTTCTTTTTCTGTTTTCTTATTTTTTTTCCTCATACGTATACCTTTTTCTTCCAAATCAACAACTTACTTGAAGTTTAATTCAATCCATAATGTCCTTTGCAGATAGAGAAGATCCTTCCACTTTAGTTTTGTTTGACGTCGATGGTACATTGACGCCAGCAAGATTGTCCGTTTCTGATGAAATGTTAAAGACTTTGGCCGAGTTGAGAAAAAAAGTCGTTATTGGTTTCGTTGGTGGTTCCGATTTGGCCAAGCAAGTTGAACAATTGGGTCCAAATGTATTGGAAAACTTTGATTACTGCTTTAGTGAAAATGGTTTGACTGCATACAAATTGGGTAAGAAGATGGCCTCACAGTCGTTTATTGGCTGGCTCGGAGAAGAGAAATACAACAAACTTGTCAAGTTTGTTTTGAGATACTTGTCTGACATTGACATTCCTGTTAGAACTGGTACTTTTATCGAATTTAGAAACGGTATGATCAATATCTCGCCCGTTGGTAGAAACGCGTCAACTACTCAAAGAAACGAGTTTGAAGCATACGACAAAGTTCACCACGTTAGAGAAAAATTGGTTGACGCTTTGAGAGTTGAGTTCAAGGACTATGGATTGACTTACTCAATTGGTGGCCAAATCTCATTCGATGTTTTTCCAACTGGATGGGACAAGACTTACTGTTTGCAACACGTTGAAGAAGAACATTTCAAGACCATTCACTTCTTTGGTGACAAAACTTACAAGGGTGGTAACGACTACGAAATTTACCATGACCCAAGAGTCACTGGACATGCTGTCAACTCGCCAGATGATACTATTAGAATTTTAGATGAACTCTTCAAATTGAAGTAAATAAATAATAATATAGAAGCTTTTATATAAAAGGCGCTGTTACTTTATTTAAGTTTGTAATATATCATTGAACAATCATCTCCAGCAACAATTACCTGCTCAATGTTGTGCTTGCCGATTTTGTGGTCGTCGAGCAATTGCAATCTTTGCGTGTTCATGTCGTTGATAGATTTTGCAAGACTCAATTTGTCATTTCCATCTTGAGGCTCAAGTAAGCGAGGCAATCTAGTAGGCTTACACGCTTTAACCCTCTTACCATTTCCAAATTGACCAAATTGGTTAGATCCTAATGCAAAGACATCCTTTGACCCGCCATTGTTTAATGTAATAAACATATGGCCATTACCCACAGTAGCATCCTTAATGTTGATGTTCTTGACTGAATTCAAATCCTCGTCATATTCCTTCAAGCCAATCAACGACTTCATAATCTCAGGGTAAGAGCACACGTGAAGATATCTGCCTCCGCCTAATTGGCCATTGAGACCATTACCCAAACTCAAGATTGCGCTTTGATCCATGTACCTTAAAATAATGTAGCTTGTCTCTTGCGAAGCCAATACTCTTGCTACCTCAAAATCAGCTTCCTTTGCCGTTCTCCCAAACACGTTTCTACAGATTCTTTTGTAGTCATCCTTGTCAAAAACTTTCCTAGGAACAGGTTCAAATTTAGTAGTGTTTGAATCTCCACATTGGCCAAAAGTATTATCGCCCCATGTCCATACACCATCTTTGGCATCTGATACAATATTGAAGTAATCGCCACTGGCAATATCAGTGAATTTTCTCGAAACAATACGCTTCTGATTTCCATCCTTCACTACCTCATTATTCAATAACGTCATGTCTATAGGCTTATTCACTGGAATCTCCTTCTTATCAAATGGCGAATACTGTGGGCCAAACTGACCTACATTTCTCGGCTCTTTGGAGGAATTGACCACAAATATTTGACCGTTGCCAGTAAGAAGCAATAAGTGGTCAAGTCCCGACGAAAATTGAACCACATTCTTTGCATCAATTTTATTGAACGTTTGAGACCTTAACAATCCCAACCAGTTGCGCTTTAACATAGGAAAGAATCCAACCTCAGACTTCCTGGGAGTGTAAACAATTTCCCCGCTGCTGGTCAAATAGTAAAAAAAGTCAGTAGTTGCCGTAATTTTGTCCATCAGGAAAGGGAACTTCACCTCAGCCACCTTCAGTTGGCCCTTTTTCCATTCAACAACTCTGCCCTTTTCAGTTATGGCGATAATGTGACCTCTCTCCATAAAGACATCTTTTAGAAACATTCCATTAAACGCGGGGATTCTGAGAGGTATTTTTGTGTTGTCACCAAACTGATAAACACCTGGTACTTCTTTAGAATCTTGCAACTGTGCAATATGCTCATTACTCAACTCCTTTTCTAGCTTTTCTAACAAATGCTTTGTGCTTTTCACGTTCTTCTTTGGCACATCAACTACCTCATCTTTCATATCCCTGTATGTATAATTCATCAAGAGCCGGTTTTTGATAGACTCGTAATTCATAAATATTTGGTGTACTGAAATAACACCAACCAACGCAGCTACTCCATAGAATACTCCTCTCATTCTCTCGTTGAACTCATGACGCTTCTGCTGACTTTTTTGCTTTGAAATAAATTCCTGGTGGAGCTGATATAAAGTTTCTCGATATTCGTGCGATCCCGGCTTTAGTTTAGTGAGACGTGGATCATTTTCGATGGCTTCATTGATATCGATGGTTTCGTCATTCGAACTTGGCTTGGGGCGCTCTGCCTTTGGTTGCGTCTTGTCATCGAGTTCCTTCAAGGAGTCAAAATTGTACCCATAGGAATATTTAGTTTTATTCTTATTAAACTCTTCAATAGAAGAGTACTTGTCCTTGCTGGAGTTGAATCTCTTGAAATATACTGATCGATTTGTCCTTAGATTAAAAAGACGAAGGGTATGGATCCTGGGTTTCGGCCACATCATCTTTGCTGTGTTATTCAAAAAAGAAGCAGAAAACGAAAAATAAATTAGTTTCGGCTTGTTAAGTTTTTTATCAGTACAACACAACACCAATCATGAGCTCCCTATTCAGACCCCACATAATCACTTCTTTTCAACCAGGTCATACAATCACTCCGATACGATGCATCTCGTCCATAACCAAGTTTGATACCAGGAAGTTTGTTCAAACTTTACAAGAGAAAGGTGGGTTTGATTCCAAGCAAGCTGAGGCTGCAGTCACTGTTGTCAACGGTGCCATCAACGACGGTATCTACTCCATCACAAACAACCTAGTCACAAAGGAAACCCTATCGTCTATTGCATATCAGCAAAAAGTTGATTTTGCAAAATTGAAAGGGGAATTACAAACAATGGATAAATCCGAGTTCACTACCTTGAAAAAGGAACAGGAGAAGTTGAGAACGGATTTGACAAATTTAAAGAACCGATTGAAAGAGGAAATCACAAAGAATCAAGCCAGTGTGAGGCTAGATTTGAACTTGGAAAAGGGCAGAATCAGAGAAGAAAGTTCGATTAATGAATTAAAAATCGAGGACACTTTCAGTAGAATTGACGAAGAAGTAGCAAACATGCAGCTGCAAATCAAGTCAGTGAAAACTCAAGTCTTACAGTGGTTAATGGGTGTTAGTACCGGTACTTTGGCAGTCCTATTAGCTGTTGGAAGGTTTTTATATTAGTTAGACGACTCTCATGAAAATACACGTATTCTTTTACACGCGAAGCAAACAAAACCAAGGCAAACAAAAAAAATAAAAAAAATAGGAAAAGGTGCCAGCAGCGTTCAACAAGCAATAATTGACTAATGAATTCAATCTACAACCATGGTTTGAAACAAACCCAGACTATAACCAAGGACCTTGCTCAATTTGAAAAGAACTTGTCAACCTCACCGTTGTCGTTACAGGGTGCAATCACAACATCAATCACAGCATTTAAAAAGACCATTAAGGAGTACACAGACTTACTCGAAAAGAATCCAACAGATGCATCGTTTGCTAAACATGAAGGCAGGATCAATAAATTCAACCAAGAATTGGAAAATTTCGCATCCAAGTTTGACAATTTGAAAAAGCAAAGAGAAATTTCTGTGCAAGAAGCAGATAGACAAGAATTATTGGGAAGGAGACATGTTACTGCGACGGTATCACAAACTAGCGATAACCCTTATGATCCAAGTCAACAACAGCAACAACAGCAACAACAGCAAACATTGTCACAGCGAGAGGGGCTCTATAATGAAAACCAGACTCTTGCGCGGGGCTCAGAACAACTTGATCGAATATTGGAAATGGGACAGCAGGCGTTTGAAGATATAGTGGAGCAAAATGAAACATTGAGAAAAGTACAGGCCAAGTTTGAAGAGGGGTTAGTTACTTTAGGAGTTAGTCAAGGGACAATAAGGAGCGTGGAGAGACGGGCCAAGCAAGATAAGTGGTTATTTTGGTTTTGTGTTGTGATGATGCTAGTCATTTTCTACTATATATTAAAGTTCTTCAGATAAAAACTTTTTTAGGCAAATGGTGATGGCTACAATGTGTGTTGAGAGGAGTGTAGGTTACTTTTGTTTCATTCTGTAAGAGGGGAAAAACTTAAGTAGAAAGTGTATTAATCTGAGCGTAATTTACTAGATCCCTGATATTGTGGTCTTTCAAGTACATGGGCCTAAAAAGCACCAATTAGTTTACCCAGACTGCCCCACATATCGTAATAGGTGTGTGGGTTTATGAAATATGCAAGACCTTTGTTGTTTTTAACCGCCCCACTTCTTTTGAGAGAAGAAAATACGGAAGACTTTCAATTTCCGAAGCTAAAAAAATTTTGATTGTAGTTGGCTTAGGAAAACTTGAAAAGATAAATTTTCCAATTAAAGTAACATACATGAAAGCCACGTCAGTTCTGGGAGATTACTGCAATGGGAAGAAAGACTTTTGAAGAACGGTTTGCCAAAGAGTTGTTACTGATCGCACCTGTTTCTATATGTTAGTAATCTCTACCAGAACATTGTGACCAAATGTAATGTATTGCTGAACAAAAGGACTCCATAGCCGAAACCCTCTCTTAAGACATGTAATAAAGATACGTTACAGGCTTATTGTCAAATAAAAAAATAATTTAAGAAACAGGGTTGCCTAATTAGGAATGCTCATTAATTGACAAAAAGTGTTGCAAACAAGGAGCTACCAGCTTAATTTTTTAACAGTTTATTGCCGTTTTGGGCAATAATGGATCAACCGAAAGAACACAAAACCAAAAATTTTCAACCTTCAAAGACCCAATTATGGAAAACAAATTGTATGACAGCATGATTCAGACAGCATCACCAGCTGCTTTGTATTTATATAAAACATGATCTGGTTCTATCAATTGTTCCATGCTCAATTTTTTTTTTCCCATCATCAATTGTGACTCTCATTTGATTCAAAAACGCTGGTGATTTTGCAACACATCTGAAATCTTGATTCATTCCTTGACATTTGGCATTCAAAGTAAAAGCAAAAAGGTCCTGCTTGTTTACCTTTTGAAAAAAATCCAACTTTAAACAATTCTTTACTAGTTGTCGCTTTAAAAAATCCCCCACTAAATATGAAGTTTAGGCTCGTTGCAGTAGCCCTTGCAGCTGCCAGCATCACGGAAGCAGCTCCTATTAAGCGAAGCTTTCTTGATGATTTACTAGGACTAGATGATACCACCACAACAACTGCAGTGGCTGCTGCTACCACTAACACCCCAGTAGTTGCCGCTGCTGCTGCTACACAAGCCGCTACAACATCAAGCACTAGAGGATTCTGGGCAAACTTACTCAATGGACTTGGCGGAAGCTCAACTACTACAGCCGCCCAAGCTGCAGCCCAAGCTACGACTCAAGCAGTTGCACAGGCAGCTACTACGCAAGCATCTACGACTACAGCATCGTCAGGTGGCTTTTTAGCAAATTTGTTTGACGATTTCTTTGGATCTAGATCATCTACTCAAGTTGCTACCACTGCTGCTGCAACCACCTCTGCTCCCCAGGTTGCCCAAACAGCTGCTGCCACCGCCGCCACCGCCGCCACTGCCGCTACCCCAGCTACAACAACTGCTGCATCAAGCAGTTCTAGTGGAAGTGCTGTCGAGGACTTGTTTGCCTATTTGCTTGGAAGGAGTTCCTCTACAGTTGCACAATCCGTACCTACATCTGGAACCTCTTCAAGTGGGTCAAGTGGTGGTCTTTTTGGAAACGTTGGTAGTTCTAGCTCCAACGCTTATGGTGCATCTTCTCAAACTTATACCTCATCCATCGTTACTAATACTTACCAAGGAGGCTCACCAGGAAAATATTCTGGCTCCATCAACACAGCCACTGCTACAGCATCTAATGGCGGAAGTTCAGCTGGTGCTACAGCAGCAGCTGGTTCGAAAGGTATTACCTATTCCCCATACACCAAAGATGACCAGTGCAAGACTGCGTCTGAAGTTGCTGATGACATTGCAAAATTGAGTGACTACGAACTCATCAGACTTTATAGTACAGACTGTTCAGGAATTGAAAATGTCTTGGCCGCAATGGGCTCTAGCCAGCAGCTTTATTTAGGTTTGTGGAATATTGACTCCCTGTCGGTCCAAAGTGGGTTGTCTGAGATAAAAAGCGCAGTCTCTACCAGCTCTAGAGGATGGAGCCTGGTGCATACAATTGCTGTTGGAAATGAAAGAGTAAATTCTGGGGCAGCAACTGTGTCGCAGATGCAAGATGCAGTGGATACTGCAAGACAATGGTTGAAATCAAATGCTACAAGTTACACTGGGTATGTTGTTACTGTGGATACTTTGGTTGCCTATGTCGCTAACCCACAATTGTGTGAAATGTCAGATTACTTCGCAGTAAACTCACATCCATATTGGGATGGTAATGTGGAGCCAAGCAACTCAGGTCCTTGGTTGGAGCAACAGATCTCAAATTTGCAAAGCGTGTGTGGAACTTCAAAAGATGTTCTTATCACTGAAACTGGTTGGCCAACACAAGGAGATGCCTATGGATCTTGTGTGCCATCAGTCTCTAACCAAGTGGCAGCTGTTAAATCAATTAAAAACTCGTTAGGATCAAAGGTTATTATGTTTACCATGTACAACGACTACTGGAAAGACCCTGGTGCATACAACGTTGAGCAGCATTGGGGACTTTATGGAGATCCTTCGGAGTAGTTTTATTGCAATGATCAACGGACTTTGATACCAAATTGACAAAAACACGTTTATTCAATTCTCATTTATATTAGTATAGTCAGTAATAATATTTTACAAAGATGGACAGCAACTGTTCACGTAAGTGAATCGCTTTCTACCTCTAAAGACTGGATACTTTTGCTTGCGCTACCGTTCACTGTCTAAACAATCAACAACAAAGCAGAAAAAAAGAACCAAAAAAAAAACGCAGACAATATTCGTAGTAGCATACTATAACATACAACTGACCACGTCACAACATGTCGGAAAGGGAGAAGAAAAAACTTCTGACAAAGCTCAACTCTTTGTTTGCCGATATATACAACCTTAAAGATAATGGTGAATTTGTTTACAGATATTTCCAAACTTTGCCATTGAGAACAGGAACCGATTACTACAAAGTTATTAAAAATCCACTTTCGCTTCATGCGATAGGGCGTAAGTTGAAACAGCTCAAGTATGTAGATGGCCAGGAATTTGTCAATGATTTAGCTTTGATCACTTGGAATGCGAGGTACTACAATTTGCCAGGGTCGGACGTTTATAAAGATGCCCAGATTTTGGACCAGTTTATCCATGAGGTTGTCATCCCTAAGTTAAGGAACGATAAATCGGTCCCAAATGGACAAACTTTAGTATACCCACACATCGGCGACTTGCCAGATGAAAGAGATCGTGATGCACCGGTTGGAACACCAGGTTACGCGTTTGACCAACCTCTGGAGCTAAGACATCAGTTACTTGTGCGAGAAAACTCCCCAATATTAAAGACTGAAGAGTTTGAAATGAGTGTCACTCCACAAGCGGAACCAACTTCATTGTCTAGACCTTTAGTGAGTACCTCATTCAACAAATCAACAGTATTGAGTACACCCAATAAAACTCGATATGCCAGACAGCATCACAACCAGCTGCAGGTAGAGAGTGGTATAAGAAGAGGACGTCCACCTATTATTGACAAACCATTTGAGACTCGTATCAAGTTGGTCTTGAAGGCTTTCAAAAAATTGCGCGACAGCAGAGACCGTTTATTAATTAAACATTTCGACAAGCTTCCAGATAGTAAACTGTACCCTGACTATTACCAAATTATAAAGGACCCAATCAGTTTGAACGAAATCAGAGTCAAAGTGAGAAGTAGAAAGTATAGCAATGTCGATCAATTTATTAACGATTTGGATTTGATGTTTGCCAATTTTCAACAATACTTCCAACGTGATCCATATAGTGAAGAGTTTATGGACTACCAACAGTTTAGAAAAGAGGCAAATGTTATTGTACAGCACGAATTGAGCAAAACTGATAAGGAGGTCCTAATGTCCGCTTCGTCGGCCAGTGATGGAGTGTTGCGATTCCCATTGGAGTCCTTGGATGTAGGTGGGTACTCGTACAAAATCGGAGACTGGGTGTTGATGAAAAATTCAGCTGATCCTGAAAGACCAATTGTTGGCCAAATTTTCCGTATTTGGTCAACCGAAGATGGTAAGAGGTATTGTAATATGTGTTGGTATTATCGCCCCGAGCAAACTTGCCACGGTGTTGATCGTTTGTTCTTCCAAAATGAAGTTTGCAAAACTGGCCAGTATAGAGATCATTTAGTGGATGACATAGTTGGTCCTTGTTATGTCGTATTCTTGACTAGATACCAAAAAGGTGACTTGCCAGAAGGAGTTATACCCTCGACTGCCCCTTGGTTCATCTGCGAGTTTAGATACAACGAAAACACTCATGTTTTTAACCGTATTAGAACTTGGAAAGCTTGTTTGCCGGATGAAGTGAGAGATGACCCGGAGCAGCCGTTGATTCCCTTACACGAGACTCGTAAGTTGATCAAGTATGACTCTCCAATAAAGTCTACATTAGATCCTGATGCAAAACTCAACGATCCGATACCTGATCCTATACCTGGTACAACCAATTCACCTCCAATCAGGGGATCGGTGTATATTACAGCACCCATACTTAATGATGACTTGGGTCAATACACCACTAGTCCCAACACTGTGCCAGTGCCTGATCATGATGATTTGAAGACTGGTAGAAAGGCATATTTGTTTACCCCAATTTCACAGTTGAAAGGCGGCGGTGGCTCTTCTGGTGCCGTGTACGCGACAAGTCCGGCTTTGCCTCATGGTTCACCAAACCATGAGCCGTCAAGACATACGGGTGGACTGTTATCTACATTACCCTTGGCGAGGTCTGCAATGAGTCCACCTTTAAGTGACATTACACCATTGGGTTCCGAGGCAGCTTCTCGATATCAACTACATCAACAAGACGATAAGCCGCAGTTGCCCACTAGCTATAGATCTTTGCACGATCTGTTGCAGGAGAATAAGAAATTGCAGGAACAACAGTTGCACCAATTTCAGCAACAGCAACATCAGCATCAACAAATCTTTAAACGTGCCTTGACTCCAACACCAACAAGCATTGTCCCGACAGGTACCAACTATTACAGCAGTGTACCAGCGTATTCAAACTTGTACGCTGGTGGGATTTTGTCATATGGTGTAGAAGCAGAAGAGCTTGATGACTTGAAGGAATTAGTAAATAAACGACAAAAGAAGAATCCCGAAGGCGAGGGTGTTGATGAAGTCATCTTTTACCGCGCACCCCCCGTGCAGCTTGCGGGTAATAGAATAATAACCAACCTGAAGGTTGAACTCGGACACTCAGCTAGATACTTGGCATGGAAGATCAAAGCCGAGGCTGAGAGTAAGTAGGGGCAGTTTGTGTATTTTAATGTACTTATTCGTAAAGGAACCCATTATCTTTGAAACACTCTCTCACGCGAGCAAAAAAAATAAAATGCATAACTCATTCTTTTCACATCCTTAGTTTTCAGGCACGATAACCAATTGACACAGCTCCCAACCCCATTCAAATGTTATGAACAAGCAACTTGCTGAATTTCAAGAGCATCTACTCAAATCCAAAAAAATAGTAGCACTAGTAGGAGCTGGACTCTCTGCCTCGTCTGGTCTACCCGTATTCCGAGGATCGCAAGGACTATGGAAAAACTACAATATGATTGATTTGGCTACCCCTGATGCATTCTATATAGATCCAGGTTTAGTATGGCAGTTTTACTCTTGGCGAAGATATGGTGCATTAAAAGCGGAACCTAATCGGGGCCATATAGCATTAGCCAAGTTGTCTCATTTGTCACAATTGAAATACTTGACGATACTGCAGAATGTTGATGGATTGTTGAGTCGCAAACGCAAAACTGGTGATGATGATGAGACATGTGTTCATGATCGAAGGAAGTTGTATGAGATTCACGGCAGCTTGTTTACCTTAAAATGTACCAGCTTCATGTGCAATCATGTGGAAAAGAATAATTTTGATCAACCATTGGCGCGAGCATTGGCAGAATCAGAGTTTGAGTATTTGAACCAGAGGAAGAAAAGAAGTCGAGATGATGGTGTTGATGATGATGGCCAAGGCATAAAAGAAGAGGAGGGGATTGACCCCATTTCAATACTAAATAGGCAAGATATATTTACATCCACTTCATCGTCGCCACAGTTTGAACCTGTGAAAACAATCGATGAGAAAGATTTACCACGATGTCCTGTATGTGAAGGACTCATGCGTCCTGGAGTAGTATGGTTTGGTGAATCACTACCATTGGACTTGATTACTGGAATTGATAGCTTTATTGAGCATGGTGACTCCCCTGATTTGATCTTAGTCATTGGAACTAGTGGTACTGTTTACCCCGCCAATAGCTATGTTGAAAGGGTTAAATTGAAAGGTGGGAAAGTGGCCATATTCAATATGGACATTGAAGATGATGTGGTCGATGGTAAGGTTGAAGGAACCTGGGGTTTCAAAGGTGATGCGGCAGAGTTGTTGCCAATCGCTTTAGAACCATTGATTGGTAAAATTGGTTCGAAAGGAGTGGAGGTGAACAGTAGCAATGATGGAAAATGAATTATAAGCCTAAATAGGTGGAGAGAATGCTATAGACGACCAATAATCACACGCTTTTTTACAAGTGATTCTTCTTAATACTCTATGGTTTCTATTTACTAAGTAGAGAAAAAGTGTTCAGCCAAGCTTAGTGTGTTCAACTGTCTTCCAATATATTGCTTCCTTTGATTGCAGTGGTTGTCCGTGAGTACCCCTTGATTTCTAATTTGCTATCAAATGGCTTATAAAATGGATTACCAACATGGATAATTGTCGATACAGAAACAGAAGCCGATGCGTATCGCGATGGATCCTCAGCTTTGGATGCAGGTTTTACTAAACACGCAGACTGTCGAATGCGATCCAAAGTGTCAATTGATGCTATCGTGACAGATGGCTTTAATGGTGGTCGCGAAAATTGTGAATTTCCAGTTGATGGCTTGTTGATTTTGAATTTCGTATGTGGTGCTGCATTGTTGTTATCGCTAAAATTATAAGTGAAAATATCCCTACCTTTGTGATGTTTTGCATTCAATGACTTTCTGTTTGTAGATAATGCAAGAGACAAGCGGCGCTTGGGTTTGCTGCTAGTGGAAGTTGACTTTCTTCTTGGGATCAGTATAGGTACTAAGCTGGGCATGACGTACGCCTCTTCATCGGGCATTTGCAAAGGCGATGCCAAACTCATAGCTTTCTTATGGGAAGTAGTATTTGGCTTTGTGGATAGGGTTTCAATTGATTCATGCTGATTTGCTATTGTTGGTAAATTGTTAGATTCGAAACTTTGTATAGACAGTATATTGTTTGGATCCAGTAGCTCTAATTGTCCATTTTCTGTGCTTACATTGAACTTGAATTGAGTCAACTCATCATCAAACTGAGTGAACCACTCAAAACTAGAAGCATAATCGTTCGTCATCTCGTTGTTAACAATGCAGTTAGATTCAAAGTCTTTGGTGAGTGAAGAAGCCCCCTTTTCTAATTCAGGTAACGTCTCGGCAACTTTGCTTGTAGTTGAAGTTACAAAGGATGAAAGCATATTCATATTTGAAAACGCCTGTTCAAAATATGATGTTGTGTCCAATAAAGAATTCATTTGTTCGTCATTATTGAGAAGCTCCATTTCGGAAAGGCTTTCTATGCAAAGTAGTATGTGTAATGGTTTTTTATTTTCCTGATATAAGCCAAACGTGAGTAAAACTGTAATGATTTAGGTCAATTGAATAATCGATAGTTGATTCCCCCTATATATATATACATCAGCCACCTCAATTTGTGAGACTTTTAACGTATTTGTGGGTGTATGTAAGAATATGTACGTGTCAGTATTATTCTTGTAGAAGCTCAGAAATAGTAACAACTGGTTTAGTCACTCGCTGGTGGAATTTTTGCTTGTCAAAGTGGGATATAAGTGGTGACGTATTCGTTCAAAGGCGGTACTTTAGCTAGCTATAAGTGGTTACCAACACAATCAATTCTATCAAAATCGACCAAAATTCTCAATTATAACGGTGGTGGGTAAACGAAAGGGGAGATTTCGCTCTTCTGCTTCAATACGATTCAGCAACTTTGAATTGAGAATCGGCTGAGTATATACAAGTTAAAGTTTGCAGGCAGGGATCTCCAATTGACGTCAGAGTCAAGCTATATTCACCTTTATAGTTTCCGTGTATGTTTTAATCCAGCCAACAACTTTTTAGGCCAAAATGTATAGCTTGATGTGGCAAATATAATATATTAGACTTTTATTTTTTAGATATAAGAAAAATTGTGCAATGCTTCTTGATCCACAATATACAATTCAAGGCGGGGATGCGGGTGTGTGATTCCTTTGGTTTCAAATGACGTTATTCCTTGAGCAGATTAGATATGGAGGTGGATTCCAATTGACAACCGTGACGACAATTCTTGTGGGTGTAATCAATGGTGCTGTCGATATATTTAGTTGCTCCTTTTCTTGATAAAATCTATGACCATAAATCTGACTAAAGTGCTGAAGTTATTTTATTAATTCTCGGCGATAGCAGCGTTATCGCAAATGAAGGTGGTGGCTTTGCGAATTAAGGAGAAGTTTTGCTAGTTTGTTCTGAAGTCGACTTCACACGTTGGATACTGGCAGAGACAAGAAAACACGTTTTGAAAAGTTGAATTTGATGAAAAGCTTTAAAGAAATTTTTGGAAGTGAGTTTATTGGCAAGGAGTCTCTCCTTTTCTTTTAACCCTTTTCAGTCTTTCTTTTATGTTTTCTCTTCTTCTTCTTCTGTCTGTTTGCCTGTTTGCCTGTCTGTCCTTTGTTAGTTTTTAGTTTTATAATTTTAATCCGCATATTACACAAACTGCATAGTCTAATACTGATGTACACAAAATACTCAACCCGTAGCAAAATACAAAAATCTACTCTTCCACCACTCCACCCCCACCTACTGGAAAAACAAAAAAAAAAAAAAAAAAGAAAAAAAAAGAAACTTCCTTTCCTTAGTTTTGAAGTACGCTTTATGCCTTCTCAATGGTCTACAACCGCAATCTTCAAAATGGTGGTGCCAAAAATACCCCCCCCCCCCCACACACACACAGATACATAGTATGATGAATTCTATTGTCTTTGTTAGTCTCTCTTTCTTTCTCTCGGAACTTGAATTTTTTTGTTGTTGAGTCAAAACTTGCCGAAGTCCGAACTGGAATTCGCAGGTAAGGTTTTGTGTTTTGCTGGCATTTCCATCCACCATTGTACTTTACATAATTTAACTCAATTCGTCATAAAAATTTTGTGTCTGCAAAGTTGAATAAAATCAATCCAAAACTTTATATCAAGTAGGCAAACGTAGGATGGGAAACGATAGATGCTGTTGTTGCCGATACAAAAAAAGACGGAAAATTAAATATACATAGAAGCTAGAATCCGTCTTAGTGATGGATCAGTCTAAATTGTAATTAAAATTAATCAACAAAGAAGAGGTTCTACGTATGCGTTGCCTGATGTCTGCAGATAAATCAGTATATCATATCAAGCAAACCTCGTGCAACATTTTTTTAGATCTGCCATCATCCGATCACCATAACGAGTAAATAATAAATACCCCCAATACATGCTAACTCCCAAGGTCAGCAAAGACAGTTTAATCTAGTCCCTTTCAACCGCGTAATAATTCCTCATCATACCTATCTTGCATTACTCTTTGTGGTGCAGAGCTTGCCTCAGGAGGCAATCCAATTTGCAAGTTAGCATCAATAAGCAATTGGTTACGGACCCATAATTGCCGTTTCTCTTTGATCTTGGCTTCTAGTTGATTCGATACAATTTTATTGATCTTCAATCCAGTATTCAATTGGTTCAATAACGAATCATGTATTTGTTTCAACTGGGACACATCGGTAATTTTATCAATGTTGTCAACTTCGTCGAGTACCGGGTCCTTTGTAATGTATTTTGATGCCAAATGTTTTGAATCATGAGATAAAAACTGTAAAATTTTATTACTGTTGATTTCGGGAATAATTTCATCGGGGTGTTCAGACTGGTATTGCTTCTTGGCTATATTGATAGTATCATTATTTGCATCATTATCCTCAATCAATTTTGCATCTTCCTCCTGTTTTGAATTTAGAAATTGTTTAATTCTAATATCATTCAACCAATATTGTCTTGCGTCAAGTGGGAGATTTTCAACATCACCAATAGTGAATCCCTTATCCTTTCTCGCATCCACTTGCTTCAATAATTGCACAAATTCGTTATTAAACCACCATGGCATCTTCAATTCAAAATCATCATCAACGATCCTAGCATACTCTTCATCACTCAAGTTTTCGACATTGAACCCCAAATCCAATTTTCCTCGCCTGGTACTCTCCTTCAATGCACTCAATTGATCTTTGATATTATGTAAATCATGAACTCCCTTTACATGTTTAGTCAAGGCATCTGATCGCGTAAAATGCTTTTCGCATTCAGGTATCGGACAGAAAAATGGCTTCTCACCAGTATGTGTACGACAATGCGATATTAGAGAAAACCTGCTTGGTTGCTCTGTTCCGTAACGTGAACAGTTTTCCCACAAGCAGATGTTTTTGGGATTGATGGATGACATAGGCTGGGTGTTGGTGGTGGTCGTGGTCGTGGCGTTGGTGGGAGGTCCGATATGGGTGGTGTTTACATGGTTTACTAGATTAGTGAGGTTTGCGTGTTCCTTGTCATTGCATTCAACCCATCGGCAAGTGTATTCCGGGGTTGGGGTGGCGGTGGTGTTGATCAGAGGAACTGTGGTGACTTCTCGCGACTCCGATCTTGAAACATCATCTTGTAATACGTGCGTGCTTGCTACCTCTGTTGACTGGTCGACATCTCCGGGCTCTAGTTTGATCTCGCTGGCTTCGACCATTGTTGCTGGATTAAAGTGTGGACACTGTTGACTGTGATTAAATTTTTTTATTCTCAATTTTTTCTTTATTTTTTGCCTCATGGTGGTTGCACATTAGATGATTAGATTACAGTTGCCGTTATATACATTCACTTTGTAACTTTCTATACTCTCTATACCCTATAACAATTCATCCAATCTGGCAGCAGGATTGGTTTCAATGAAATCTAGCGACACCTTGTGTCCCAACAACTCTCTAATATTGGAAACACCGTATTTAATCATTGTCGGTCTTTCCAATGATAATCCCCAACCCAAAACACGCAAATTCTTGGGCAATCCCATAGCTTGCAACATTTCTGGTCTAAACATACCCGAGTTACCAATTTCGACCCATTTTTTCAACCCTTTGTGATATGCAAAAATTTCCAACGATGGTTCGGTGTAGGGGTTGTAGGCAGCCTTGAATCTCAAGTTATCGACACCCATTTTACCAAAGAAGTCGTCCATGAAACCAATCAAATCACCCAAAGTGATATCGTACCCTGCAATCACACCTTCAACTTGGTGGAATTCTGCCAAATGAGTAGCGTCAACCGCTTCATTTCTGAAAACACGATCGATGGAGAATAATCTCGTTGGTTTTGGGTCTTTGGCTAATTTATGCAACATGGCAGCTGAAATTGCAGTAGTGTGTGTTCTTAAAACCATTCTCAACGATTCATCTGCTTTCCATGGGTATCTGTATCCAATGGATCCGTATTTCCCGTCCTGATGTACCTCCTTTACATTTTCCCAGTATTCTTTGTCTTCTGGCTCCTTAGCCTTGACTGGATCTTTCAAATAAAAAGTATCCTGCAAGTCTCTAGCTGGATGTTGTTGAGGTACGAATAAGGAATCGAAATTCCAAAATCCTGATTCAACGTATTGGTTGGATGGCATTTCGGTGAACCCTAATGAGAAAAAGATTTGTCTAAATTCTTCTCTGACTTTGTTTAATGGATGCAATGCTCCCGATTGTGGGTAAACACCTTCTGAGTTAAAGTTGTATGGCTTAAATTGAGCAGTTTTCCACGAGTTATTCAAAATCATATCGGATGTGATATCAGTTTCGAGGTTAACAATTTCAAGAGCAAACTTGGGACCCTTTTCAATCTTGTATCCAACAATTTTTGTCAAAGTTATCAACTTTCTCTTTTTCAATTCGGTTAATTCTTTCTTATCATCTAATGATCCGGTATCCTTGATTACTTTCAATTCTTCTAATACCGTATCAGCGGGTAATTCTTTAACAATAGCAACCAACTTGTCTCCGTCTTTGCTCAACCACTTGTTTTTGAAAGCCTTACCTTGACCAACAGCTCCTGCTGGGCCCAATTTTTCCTTTAAGCCAGAAATAGTTAAATCGTTCATGGCCTTTAAGACTTCGTCTACAACTTGCACTTCGGGTGTGGCACCAGTCTTGAGATACTGTTCTGCTTCTTTGGTTAAAATCCAGTGGTCTTGTTCAATCTTGGTAAAGTTTACCATCTCCTTAGACCAAAGCGAGGCCAAGTTGGAGTGTAAGGTGTTGGCGTCAATGTTGGCCAATTCTGGCGCATCTAGCGTGTTTTGCACGACTCCATTATTCGAGTCCACAAGTTTCAAAAGCTTCAACTGTATATCAGACATCTTTGTATACTGTGGTTGATGTATATTTCAGTTCGGCACTAAAATCGTTTGACTATTATGATTCATCTTTTGAAAAAAAAAACCATAAAAAAAAAAAGAGGAAAAAAAATTATTCAAATTTGAACCAATTGCACGCAGGAATGGTGTTGCAAAATATGGCTGTCAAAGTGGTGCTGCGATTTAAACAGAATTTGTGTTGTGGGATGTGTCAGGAGAATATAACAGTATATTGGACCTTTGAAGAAGTGATATTTTGCCTAGCCACACTCTCATAATATCTTGTGTTAAAATCGCCCCGAGAACTGCTTTCAATCTGTGTAATTACAATGTTTCAGTTAAAAATGGGGCCAGCGATAAAGATAGATCAAACTGATGTTGATTAGATACCCTGTTATTTCTATTTTTAGCAAATAGTTTGGAGTCATTTGAGGCCAAAGTATGGTGGTGGGATACGTCATGGTAGCAAAAAGTTATGAACTGCTTATATACAGGTACAGATATCAAAGTTTATGCGAGTTTGTTGAAAACTGATGACGTTTTGACTTCTTGTTTCATGGCGAAGCTGATTGCAGCCGCATACTCCTTCCTCAGGTGATCATTAATCTTTTGCTATGGCGTACCACTTACTCGTTTCGCCCTTGACAAGTAGATACACACGTGTAAGTATACAGAAGATGAAAAGAAAATCATACACATTTAGCTACAAATGTCGTAATGGCAGATCAAGTAGAAAGATTATAAGCTGATCAAACTTGAACGCCAAGTGTACATTCTTCGAACGATTTCCTTGTGTGTGTGTATGTATGTACGTGTCATATTGGTTGTATTTTATAGATAGCAATCTTAGACGAAAGCGAGTGAGTGTAAAACAACAAATACGAGGAAAAAAAAACAAGAAAGAGGAAAGACAGAATGACAACGGAATTTGCCATACAGTTTGCGTCGTCATTCACTAAATGATTATGACATAAGTGATGTTAGCTGAAATGGCTTGGTCTTGAGTATGTGTATAGAGAGAGAGAGCACTGATGTCAGTATATAAGTGCTGGAATCCCGAGATGGTTAGGCAACGTCTTTAAGAGTGAGAAAAAAATTTTGGACTAAGGCCCCATTGTCTTTAAACGTCATTCAAAAAAATTAAGAATAAGAATTTACCGTTTAGACGACACAAGGCGATGCAAGACCAGAGCCGCACAATAGCAAACTAAACACATACATAGATACATAGAACACACTTGAACAGCAAACAACACACAAAAAGTTAAAAAAGAAAGATCATCATTCAGCAAAAAAAGAGTATAAATATACATTGAAATTTCCTTTCGCTTTTTCCCTTCCCCCCTGAGATCCTATTTACTTATCGAATTAGAGATTCATTTTCACAGAAGACACAACAATGCCTTTCACTTGTTCAGATATTATTAAAATCATTGCAGCTATTATCTTGCCACCACTTGGTGTCTTTTTGGAAACCGGTTGTGGCAGTAGTTTCCTTATTTCCATCCTTTTGACCATTCTTGGTTACATTCCAGGTATCATTTATGCATTATACGTTATTCTAAGGTATTGATGAATGTTGAAGTTTTTGAAGGTTGATTTTTCAGATGGAAAAGGAAGCTCATGTTTGAGGAGAGATGAGGTTCAATTCCACTCCTTGAAGAAGATTTCAAAGTGAGTTTTGGGTGTATAGGTTTTGCATTTATTAGAATATAATGAATTAATACCTGGGGTTTTAATTACGTTGATGTAGTTTCTAAGTTTGTCTCTTTCTCAAATCTATTTATAGACTTCCTCCCCCATGCTTTGTGAAAAATTTAGCACAGTGCGCAATGCAAGTCGATTTTCTCTGCGCAACTTTGCAACTCACAACATTTGCAGTTTTATTTTACAAAGGAGCTCCCTGAATAAGTTAAAACACCGTGTTGAGGAGAAATATATGTTATATCGGCTTTTCTCAAAAATTCCCTCTATCTCTCACAACCGATGTTCGTAATTTATGCAGCTTTTTGGATTAAAACTTTAGTTTCTTCCAGTTAGGGCAAGCTCCAACATAACTATGACTGTCATTCTCATTACTAAACATGTTCTCATTTAAGATCTACAATATGCATGATTGGTGCTTCAACTTGTACTTTGTGTCTTTGCAATATCTGCAATGGAATATCTTTTGAGCAAGCTCGTAATTCGCAACCAAATTCGAATTCTCAACTTTTTAACTTCAGCACACGACCCAAATTGAAAAGATGCAAAAAAAAAGGGCAACTCTATATCTGTTTGTCGGATTTAAACATTCTTTTCAGAACATCACCCCAAAACTTGTAATACAATTAGGGTTGAGTAAAACAAGAAATTAGACAGGTGAGCTAGTGTTGATTTCAGGTAGGTGGTAGTGGTGAATTCATATAATCGCGTTTCCCCTATCTCAAATTCTTACTTACACATAATATATTGGAAAATGGCAATTTCATGTCGTTTTTTGTTCGCGATAGTCTGGCTATAGAAAAGGCCACAAACAGGAAAATTCGGATTTCTTTGACACTATATATATGTGAGTGACTGGCCTTACCGGTTTTCAATTGTAAAATAGGACCGCTTCTTCTTTTAGTTGGTGCGGGGCACTTAACTATTCTTCTCGCCAAGAAGTAGCTGCTCCCAGCACTTCCCGGATCCCCCCAGCTCCTCCAATTAACTACTCCTTTTTGTGTTGCAGTTTAATTTCTTTTTCTTTTTTTTCTTTGTTTTTATTTTATTTTTTTTTTTATCTTTTTTTTTAATTTTATTTTTTATTTTAATTTCAATTCCTCAAATAATCGCTTCCTTTTCATTTGTTTTATTAGAAAAAAGGCTTTATTTGCTATTGAGGTATACAAATACACACCAACCACTACTGCAACCACTATAGTCATAACCATCCTCATTCATTCGCTATAACATGCTACCCAGAAGTTTGCGGTCTAATGTGAGCTTTTATCCTTTGCTAGGAAGGCTACTGAATGCAAAAGTCATCAAAGTAATGCTAGCAATAGCAGTGATAATCAACTTATTTTTCCTCACTTCTCTAGTTTTTGATAGCAACAACAAACCACGAAAGAAGAAGTCTTACATTTCAAAGCTAAAACTACCGAAACTTTCGTCAGACAAGAAGAATGCAAAAGTGATAACATTAAAAACGGGACCTAATCATAAACTACAATATCATCAAGGATTAGGTGGCGCATCTCTCGATGATATTCCCAAGATAATAGAGGTAAGGAATGCCGATATAAGCTATACTAATGGTGTGCAGTTGGGATCCAAACAATTATACCCTATTTCCAACAAGCCATACGAAGAATTGGATGACGACGAGAAGATCTTGTACAAGTTGAACCAGGTCAATAAAGACAAGGAAAAATACTGGTTAGGACATACTGAGCTCACTGATTATGAAATAAAAATCAATGTCAAGGACTTTCTACTGGAAAATTGGGTCGATAAACCAGTTTTGTTTTATGATCCCAGATTCACCTTGACGATATACCTCGCTGAAATACGCAACCAGTATTTGCAAAAGAACCCTGAAAACTCGCCATATTACAGAAATGAGATTGTCGTCCCCTTTGCTTGGTCAGATTGGGTCGACTTGACCATGTTGAACCAGGAGTTGGTGAAGCCTGAGAATAAGAGGAAAACGTGCGAATACATGAAGGCTACGCACCACATACCGACAAAGGTTCGTGATTATTGTATAAACAATGTTGATATTGGCGGAAAGGAGTTGGATGAGATGCAACTACCTCTGATTGACTATGTGCCCGGGTTTGCTGTTAAGAAATCTCCGACAAACAAAGCATCAAATGAAGTAAGGATGTTGGAAGGTAAATCCCATCTTCTAACGTATGCACCCAACCCTTTGGCGGTTATATTCTTGACCAAGCTGGGGGTGTATGAAGCTAAAATCGATCAAAAGCAACGCATTGTCGATGGAGACTTATTTGAAAACTACATTAAGCGTAACAATATACCCAGAACACAAGCTGAACCGATTACTTTAAACCCAGTAAAGGAGTTTGATGTTTTACTTGAGCAAGTGAAGCCTACAATTTTGGACCCTGAAGAAGATGAATATGGATTGTTTGCCAAGTCGAGGGGTGGTGGTTCCGGCTCTGGCTCTGGCTCTGGCTCTGGCTCTGGTTCAAGTTCACGTGAGATATACTTGCCACAGCTGGCGTTTGATTATCAACAGGATAAAATTGGCGCTCAGATTAAATTTTACGAAAAGAGATTAAAAGTTTTGCATGATTTGACTACTAATGAACTTACATTTAATCAACAAGTGATTAATGAAGTGCGATTAGATAGGAATGAGAAAATGTATTATGATGGATTGAAATTTGCCAATAGATATTCTTTGAAAAAGGAACCCACTCATTTTCGGATGGCAAGATTAAATTTCCACAATGCCGAGAATGATCATGATGCTGGTTGGCATTATGAATGGAGATTTTTCAATGGAGCTTTACGATACTTGAAAAAGGGGTGGACAGAAGAAGAATTGTTGATTAGAGAAAAAGTATTGTTGGATAGAATATTGAGGAATTGGTTCAAGTTTGCTAGTGAAAAGGGGCTTGTCTCATGGATAGCCCATGGTCCCTTGTTGTCGTGGTATTGGGATGGTTTATTGTTTCCATTTGATGAGGATATCGATATTCAAATGCCAGCTAAAGAATTGGCCAAATTTTCCAAATTATATAATCAAACATTGGTTGTGGAGGATATAAATGAAGGATTTGGCAAGTATTTTATTGAATGTTCATCATTTGTTCATCATCGCGGTAAATCATACAAGGAGAATCACATTGATGCTCGATTTATTGATATTGATACTGGATCTTATATTGATATTACTGGATTAGGGGTCAGTGATGAACCAGTTCCTGATAGATATGCCGAATTGATTGAAAGAAATGAAATGGAAGGTCAAGCAAGACAAGTTTACAATTGTCGATTCCCACATTTCTATTCCCATGATGAAATATCGCCATTAAGATACACTATGCTTGGTGGTGTACCAGTATATGTACCCAATAAAATTGAAACTATACTTCAACAAGAATATAAAAAGGGGTTAACTGGGTACGATTATGATGGATTCTTTTTCGTTGATGCATTAAATCTTTGGATTCATCATAGTAAATTGGAGTTTTTGTTTCCCCAGGGGGAAATTTACGTCAAGAATAAAAATAAAAGTAAAAATAAAAATAAAAAGAAGAAGCAATTGGATGTGACTAAATTTACTGGCTTTGTCCAAAATATAACTCAATCACAAGTGGTTGAGTTATTGGAAAAAGATGAAGATATCTTATTGGAGTATTATCTCACTAAAGATGTCACTGATTTACATAAATTAGAATTGACCCACATGTTTAATATGCCCGAGGGAGTTGATACTAAAATTGGTGATATTTTGGGCATGAAATTACAAGATGAGGTTTCGAATGATGAAAAGTATCATCAATTAACGTCAAATTTCAAGTTTCAAATACCTTTTAGACGATCATTGTTTAATTATGAAATGATTGATCGACCTAGACATCATCACTAGATGTGATAATAGTAACAATAGTAATAATAATAATAATAGGAATAGTAATAATAATAATAATATAGACAGACATTTTTATAATTCTGATTTCTTTTTTTTTTATTTCTTTTTTGTTTTTAATGATAACTAATAACTAAGAAGAGTAGAGATCTTTCTGTTTTGGAAGTAGTTGATTGTACTAGAGTTGGCAAATATTTAGCATTCAAATGGCTTGTTATTGCTATTGAAGTGTGTCTCTCTCTTTCTCTATATATATATATCTTTATTAAGATGCGTGAGGTTGGTTATCTTTTATTTATTCGTTCTTTTAATTAATTTAAAATCGATTGGTTGCGCATTGTTAGTTATCAAAATATTTTAACTACACAGAATCTCTTTTATTGCTTTCTTTTTCTATTTCCATTTGTTCTATTGTTACTCCATTCGAACACATCACACGACTTTAAAATAAAAAAAACAAAAAAAAAGTAAATATACTTAATCTATTACGTAATTCATCTAAATTTACACAAAACAGACAATATAATAATCAATAATTAAGATTTTAACAATGAGGAGGCACAGTCACTTAATAAAATATAACATCCTAACTGCCCTCTTCCCTTTCCCTTCCCTTCTTATTCTTTTTTCTATTGTTTTTTTTTTAATTTCACAAATTTATATTTTATATATTTCGTTTAAAATAAAAATAAAAATAAAAATAAAAATAAAAATAAAATAAAACAACAGTAGAAGAAGAATAAAACAACAAAAAATTTCTTACAACCAAAATTACCATTTGTCAAAAGAGCAAACAGCATAGAGGTCTGTGATAAGGAGGTAAGACCCACAATTCCCCGTATACCCCAGCTAAGAAACAGTAATCTGGTCTAAGTCTAACCTTACTCCTCCTCCTCCTCATTTGTGCTGAAGAAAAAGGCGCAATACTAATACCATCCCTCCGTCCCCAAACTACAGCAATATCCAAAAGACCCGTGCCTCATCACATCCTGTTTGCTTACATACAACCTCACTCACTCACATATATACACGCATACATCCCCCAGCATTCACAATATGATTAACATAAAACTACTACGGAATACATTCCTCGTCATCTTATTTGTAAATATATTTTATTTTGTCAAGGTGTATCAATTAGAAGAAGAAAAACTCAGACAACTAGCTATTGCTCATGCTACATCGATAGATTACACTACTGACGATCAGATTGAATATGACAAAACCAAGGACTATCATTTGTTGGAACCGAAACAGAAAATTGCATATCTACTAGATAAAGTACATGAAAATCAGGATAATCGATATTGGCTAGCTAACACGTCGGTTGAGAATCCGTCAGTGTTGATTAACCCCTATGAGTATCTACCGCCTAGAGAATTCGACGTTGTTGAGACCTGGCAAAACAAGTCTGAACTATATTACGAACCGAGGTTCACTCTTGCTATTTATTTGGATGAATTAAAACATCAGTTAAAAATGCATAATCCTGATAATGAAAAACTGAAGGACCATTTAATTCGAATGCCCTTTGCATGGTCAGATTGGGTCGACTTGACCATGTTGAATGAAGAGATATTAAAACCGATTGGTGAGCGCAGAACGTGCCAATCTTTACAACTGCATGCCAATAAGAAAACCAAGTATCCTAAATGGTGTAAAAATTTGGTCGACTTGGAAGATGAGGAAGTCGAGGAAATCGGCTTGTCTAGAGATGACATGCCAGGGTTCATGGTTCGTAGCTCTCCTATGAATAAAGTTCATCACAAGGAAGCTATGTTGCAAGGAAAGGGTCATTTGTTAACGTCACAAGAAAATCCCATTGCAATGATATTTCTCACCAAGGATGGAACCTATGAAACACAATTAATGGGTCAGCGTCAAAGATTGGTGCGTACTGATTTGTTTGAAAAGTATCTACAACGTAGGAATCTAGTTCCTGCTACCGATTTGGAAGAAATTGAAATGAACCCACAAATTGAATTCAGGTCGTTGCTTGAAACTATACCGGCGCGCCCTTTGAATGAGGACGATGATATCTACAAGATGAGACAAATCACTCGGCAAAAGGAATTCAATGCATCTAGGGAGTTGCATTTAGACAAGGATGCATTTCATTATAAGCAAGAAGAGATGGAGGAACAAATCAGCGATTATGAGGTCAGATTGAATAAAATCAAGGAAACTGTTACTAATGAGTTGAGATATAACCCCACTGTCATTGAACAGAATAGGTTGAATCGACATGAAATAAACCACTACAATGGTTTAAAAACTGCCAGTAAATATTCAGTTGAAAAAGAGCCAACTTATTATAAACTTGCCACCTTGAAAAAAGATAAGGCCAACACTGATGCTGGATGGCATTATGAGTGGAGATTTTTCAACGGGGCTCTCAGGTACATCAAGGACGAGTCATGGACGAATGAGCAATTGGAAGTTAGAGAGCAAATTATTCTTGATAGACTATTGAGAAACTGGTTTAGATTTGCCGAAGAAAAGGGAATTATTTCCTGGATTGCCCACGGACCTCTCTTGTCTTGGTATTGGGATGGATTAATGTTCCCATACGATATCGATATCGACATTCAAATGCCTAGTTCAGAGTTGAACCGATTGTCGGCAAATTATAATATGACTTTGGTTATTGAAGATGTCAGCGAGGGTTATGGGAAGTATCTAATCGACTGTGCTACATTCTTACACCATAGAGATGTGGCATTTAAGGATAATCATATTGATGCTCGATTCATTGATATTGACACTGGTACTTATATTGACATAACAGGAATTGGTATCAACAATGAACAACCACCGCCAGAATACGATGGATATATTCGAAACAAGCAGCGCAAACAGGGATCAGTTGAGTTGTACATGGATAGAAGAAAGCACTGGTTGAACTTTGAAAAGATTAGCCCGTTGCATTACTCGATGATTGGAGGCGTGCCGGTGTATGTTCCTAATGACATCATGTCCATGCTCAACAATGAATATTCAGCCGGAACTAGATCGTATTATTATGCGGGTTATTACTACGTGCCGTGTTTGAGATTGTGGATACATGTAAACAAAATCAAACCAATCTTTAAACCCGAACAATACGAATCAAAGACGAAAGTGCGTGAACGGGAAGCATTAACTGCATTGATCAAAAATATTGACGATGAGGGGAAACTAAGACTTTTGGAAATGCATGAAGATGTCTTGATTGAGTATTATCTTACTCATAAGCTAACTACTTTGCATGAAGTTGAAAAGAAGTTTATGTTTGATCATACTTTGCAACAACTGATGTTTGATTTGCTGGAAAAAGTTGAATATCATCATTTGACTTCGAAATTCAAGATGGGTTCACCATTGAGAAAGAGTTTGTTTGACTTTGAGTATTATGAGAGGTTCAAGCATATGAAGAAGCCGGAACCTGAGAACGATGGTCTTGAGGAAGATGAAGGTAATGATGATTCGGAAAATTCTGTATTTATTCCATTGTCCACATCAGGAGATAGCAGCGCTGATAAGCTCCAGAATCATGTCAATGATGCTCAAGTGGCAGAGGACTCAACTTGGGATGACAGTGATGGTAGAGCTGACTTTTATGACTCTGACGATAGAGTAGATCCAAATGATCCTGATGATGGAGAAGACTTGGGAGTCATTGGTGATGGAAATGGCCAACCTGGTATGCGGATTAAAGCAGAAGTCGAAAATTCTGAGAGTGTAACAACGCAACTTGCGTCTGAGGGTAACCCAGGCCCTCATGATGATCCTGGTGCAAAGAATCCTAGGGAGGCGGATGGCAGAGAAGATGCACTTGATGTCGAGCCTCCAAGAAAGAGAATATGAATATACAGAGGGTAAACAACTAACGCATTTATTTAATTAATGAAATTTTTTTACTTTGTAGATGTTTATTATATGCTCTAGTTCACATAGGAATTGTCACGATATGGTTTAATAGTTTGTCGCGACAATGGCAAAGCTGATACAAAAAAAAAAATAATCCACAACCAAAAGAGTGTCTCCCTTTAACAGTGTTTCAAAGTTTGATATCCACATATAGCCATGATACACTCGTTGAAACTTAGCTTCCAAGCTACACCTAAATCATTGATATTACCCATAAGGTCGTATTCACGTTATGTGAGAACGGCGCCAAAAGCAGCTGCCTCAAGAACATCCCCCGCACCATCAAAAGCGGCATCTGCTACAACAATTGGAGAAGAAGTAGCAGAGCAAGACGCACTGCTGGCTGAGGCTCAAAACACCCTCACATCAACTGCTTCATTTGCATTTCATGATGCGCCACCAGAGACCAGATCGGTGTTGAGCTCCACGCCCAACAATATTATAGATTGGTCTGACTCTTATCATGGACTAGGTTCACAGCCATTTTCCAAGGAAATTGCTGACACATTATTAGCACCCATTGAAGATCAAGATATTGAGATCAAGCCAGATGGACTTTTGTATTTGCCAGAAATCAAATATCGTCGAATTTTAAACAAGGCATTTGGACCCGGTGGTTGGGGTTTAGTACCGCGTACAGAATCCTTGGTTACTAAATCACAGATTTCGCGAGAATATGGATTGATTTGCCATGGAAGATTGATTAGTATAGCTAGGGGGGAGCAAGATTACTATGGTGGAGAAGAAAAGGTCACTACTGCTTTAGAAGGATGTAAGAGCAATGCATTGATGAGATGTTGTAAAGATTTAGGAATTGCTAGTGAATTATGGGATCCGGGATTTATTAGAAAATGGAAAGCCAAATATTGTGAAGAAGTATTTGTTGAACATGTTGTCAATAAAAAGAAGAAGAAGTTGTGGAAGTTGAAAGCAACTAAAAAGATAGATTATCCGTATAAGCAGTTATAATTAAATCATCTTTTGTATATTTTGAATTTATAAATAATGTACATAGCGAAAATGATTCCACTTTTCACACCACCTTATGGCTTGAAAATACCACGTCCCACACCCAACTCTTCGACTGTTTGGGTAATGGGTCTTCTTTGCCAGATGTCCCAGAATCCTTGTTGTGGTAACTCTTTATCTACATTGGCCAACTCGTATTTAGCATCGTTGGTTGGACTACTTGTAGATTGGGCCCAGTATGCGCGGTCAACGATAGTTGCCAATGAAGTACCTAAAGCACCCGTTATTACCTTGTGTTTAGCTGGCATAGACCTAAAAGCAGCACTTAAAACAACAGTGTTTGCTGCGGTTAAACCCCAAAAAGTGTTCCAACAATCATTCTTTTCTCTTAAATTAGCCAATGATGATTGTACTCCTTTGGCAACTGTAAGGAAAGTTACTACCGATATGGGAATTTCCAACTTGAAAGTCGTTCTTTTCCAAATGTACAAGAACGCATATGAACCAACGGTTGAATAGAAACCGAATTTGAATAACTGGCCAACTTCTTTACGTGTGTCAATTGGATGCCATTCAGGGTAACCCAAGCCTCTACTAAAGTTGGCTAATGGGTTTGGAAATTTATTTCTTGCATCTGGAAGTGGTGCTACTTCAGCGACTTCTACCTGCTCTGACATTGTAGGTGGTATATTAAGATCTATGGAATTAAGTGTGAGATCTAACCTTTCCTTCTTTACTTTCCCTGTAGTTTTTTTTTGCTTCTCTCTTTTGCGCCAATCAGATGAAAATTGTTTGTCAAAGGAGAGAGAAAAAGGAAAAAAGAAAGAGAAAAAAAAAATCTATACTTTTACAAAGGTTTATAGATCCAGTCACTTACTTCCCTATTTGGAAGTCTACATCATACCATTTTCTCAAAAAAGTTTTTTTTCTCTTTCGGCAATTTTTTCTTTCTTCTTTTCTTCTTATGCTGATCTCTCTCTATTGCAAAAAGAATCCTCGTTAAAACGGGTTTCTTTCAACCATCACTAATTAATAGACTACCACCACTCAAGTATGAACAAAGCTTTGACCATAACAGCAGTGGCTGCCACCGCAGTTGCAGGGTACGCCATATACTTTGATTACCAACGTAGGAATTCAAGAGAGTTTAGAAAATCATTAAAGAAGAAGGCTGTCAAACAACAAAAGATTAAGGAAAAGGTTGAAAAGGAAACCAAGGAACTCAAATTAGAAACTGTCAAGAATGCTCTTTTGGAAGACTTGAGAGCTAATCCTATTCCAACCGATTTGAATGAAAGAGAAGCATTCTTCATGGAACAAGTGGCAACAGGTGAACAGAAAGCCAAAGATAACTCCATAGATGCTGCCATCTGCTTCTACAAAGCATTGGCTGTGTACCCTAATCCAACCGATATCTTGGGAGTTTATCAAAAGACAGTTCCAGAAGATGTTTATGAATTGGTTGTCATGATGATTGCTGTATACCCACCAGCCTCAGTATCAAGTATCTTGAATAAAGGAGGTGCTGAAGCAGGTGAAACTAAACCATCTGAAGCTGATTTGGATTAGATGCGAGTAAAACGGTTCAAGTACGTGATGAGTGCTTTGTCACCATACACTGTTTTTTGTTTTTATTGATTTTGACTCGTTGCGCTGTATATATATATATTCATTATTCTTTATACTTCAATACATATAAAGGAGATACTGTTTAGGTTTGTTCCTAGTAAGAGTAGATTGATATCCCGCCCAACGATTTTGAAGGGTTGAGTACGTCTAGAAAACCTTGACGTATAGCCACCCTTCCCGCGCGATTCCGAGATTTTGCTTACTTTTATACTACTTTCATTAAAGCCACCCAGTTTCATATCGTCGTGTCACCAAATTAAAGAACCCAACATTGGCATTAGAGCTAAGCCTCATTTTGTCTAATGATAGTTTCACTATACTATTTAATCCTTTCGCTTGTTATACCAATATTAGTTGTGGCACTGTCCAACAGCACAGCCGACTTACAATATAAGGGCGTAAGTATCGGTGGATGGTTAGTTCTCGAACCTTATATTACGCCGTCGCTTTTCAAGGATTCCTTGTCGGATGATGAGACTGAGAAGGACCTTCCCGTAGATGAGTACCATTATTGCAAAAAGTTAGGACACGACGAAGCGTCAAAGCGTTTACAGCACCACTGGGGAACGTTCTACCAAGAATCCGACTTTAAGGAGATTCGTGACCATGGGTTGAATATGGTGAGGATCCCCATTGGTTATTGGTCTTTTGAGAAGTTTGATGGAGACCCCTATGTTTCTGGAGCACAAGATTATCTTGACAAAGCAATTGAATGGTGTTCAAACCACGATTTGAAAGTGTTGATTGATTTGCATGGGGCTCCTAATACTCAAAATGGTTTTGACAATTCTGGTTTGAGAAATATCGGGTATCCTGGTTGGCAAAATAAAACAGAGTATGTGGAGCACACCATTAAAGTCTTACAACAAATATATAAGAAATATGGAACAGGGGAGTACGCTGATAATTACAGCGATACGATTATTGGGGTTGAGGTTTTGAATGAACCCTTGGGCCCCAAGTTGAACATGACTGACTTGAAAAAGTTTTACATTGACACGTACAACGATGCTAGAGACATACAGACAGTCAACAATTCAATCTTGTTTCACGATGCTTTTCAAAGTTTGGGGTATTGGGATGATTTCTTCACCAAGGGCCAAGTCAAGTATCACAACCGGACACTAAATGACACAGCTAAATTTGAAAATATTGTCGTTGATCACCACCACTACGAAGTTTTTGGAAATACTGTTGCCGATAATGTGACTCAGCATTTGGAAAATATTCAAAATTACGCAAGCTCAATTGGGAAAGAAAAGAACCCAGCTATTGTGGGAGAATGGTCAGCTGCCTTAACTGACTGTGCTCCATGGCTTAACGGTATTGGGTTGGGAACTAGATATGAAGGTACAGCGCCCTATGACAATAAAGCTGCTGGTAAGTGTTCAGATGTGACACGCAATTCATCGAAATGGTCTAGCAAACAGAAAAAGGACTATCGTAGGTTTGTTGAGATGCAGCTCTACCAGTACAATGCTCGCACACGTGGATGGATATTTTGGTGTTGGAAAACTGAAGGAGGAGCCACCGAATGGGATTTTAGACAGTTGGCAAGAATGCAAGTCATTCCACAACCGTTGGACGATTACAAGTACATTAAGAACGGGAAAGACACCAGTGGTAGTAGCAATACTGAGGTTAATGGAGCGTTCCTAAAGACAATGATAGCACTTGTTGCGTGGTATATTTTATAGAGGATAGAAAATGAATGTTGTTGCAATTAGGAGTAGGTAGCGATACTGATCTGGTAATAATTTTCTCACCACAGTTCTTTTCCTCAATGGCTTTCTCTTTTTCTTTTCTTTTTCCCTCCAAAACTGTGGGAACTACTCTAACTGTCAAAAGTCATTTAACTTAACTCCACCATATACATAAGAAAAAGAATGGGTAAATCAGTCAATGTCGCTATTATTGGATCCGGTGTGGTAGGATCAGCTTACATCAATCAATTGAACAACTTAAAAACAAGCATTGCTTTCAATGTTGTTTACTTGGCCAGATCTTCAAAGGAAGCACTCTACAACGACGACTACAAGCCAATTGACTTGTCTGCTTACAAAACAGCATCAGCCAAACCTGTTTTAAGCTTGGATAAATTGGTTACATATTTGAAGGATGCACACAAGCCAACAATCTTGGTGGACAACACTTCCAACGAAGCAGTTGCTAGTAGTTATCCAACATTCATCAAGGAAGGAATTTCAATTGCGACTCCAAACAAAAAGGCATTCTCGTCCGCTTTGAAAATTTGGAATGACATTTTCTCCAACGCTGAGCAAGAAGGAGCTGGCTTAGTTTACCATGAATCAACTGTGGGTGCCGGTTTGCCAATCATTGGTCCATTGAAAGACATTGTGCTCACTGGTGATAAAGTGGAAACTATTGAGGGTATATTCTCCGGTACTTTGTCCTACATTTTCAATGAATTTTCAAAGCCTGAGAAATCTGATGTCCAATTCTCTGACATTGTCACTAAAGCCAAGAGTTTGGGATACACAGAACCAGATCCAAGAGATGATTTGAACGGATTGGATGTTGCTAGAAAAGTTACCATTCTAGCCCGTATAGCTGGATTTGATGTTGAAAGTCCAACCAGCTTCCCCGTTGAGAGCTTAATCCCTAAACAATTGGAAAGTGTCACAAGCGCTGATGAATTTTTAGAGAAATTGCCACAATATGATGCAGAGATTCAAAAGGTTAAGGATGAAGCATTTGCTGATGGTAAAGTATTGAGATTTGTTGGTAAAGTTGACTTCAAGAATGATAAAGTTTCTGTGGAAATTGGAAAGTATCCATTTGACCACCCATTTGCGTCATTGAAGGGAAGTGACAATGTCGTTGCCATCAAAACAAACAGATATCCTAACCCTCTTATTATTCAAGGTGCTGGTGCAGGTGCAGAAGTCACTGCCCACGGTGTATTGGCTGACACGATTAAAATTGCTGAAAGAATTGCCAATTAATTTATATCCATAAAAAGATATATACTACGTAATTTGTGATATAGACTGCTCTTTCCAGCTTGACTTGGCTTCACGAAATACCTCTCTGAGAAACCCAACATTTTGACAGGCCGCTCTAAAGTTCAACATGACTTTTTGTGAGTCCAAATGGGTAGTTCTCGAACTAGACTCATAATCTCCCGAGGGAGAGATTGAAGAGTTAACCCGAGTAACATGCATGTTGTTAGGCGCCAAGAAGAAATCGCCACTATCCCTCAATTCAACAATATAGAACCCAGTCATGTGTATGAATTGCGCATACTGGAAAGTGGGTCTACCCCAGCTGTAAGTTATATCGATGTTGTCCCGCAGGAAAAACGAGGTTGCCCTATTGTCAAGCAAGAAATTCATCTTTTTCAAAAAATACAAATGGTAGTAGTACCTGTTTGAGTTTATGATACGTGAATCAGCAAATTCTTCGTCAGTGAGGGGATTCACCGACAATTTAATTTCAACAAATGAGTGGAATGGGCTCAATTTTGGTATCATGCACAATTCCTTCCAGGGCGTCTCAACCAACTTTAAGCCGTGCCTTTCGCATAGCCTAGACCACGCCATGATTGTATCCTCGATGAACTTGTTGGTGGTCGTTAGCCATTGAAGTCGGATGTGGTAGCAATGATCAGGATTATGAACACGATCATAATGCACAGTGATTAACTCTGGCCTGTAGGATTTTTTCAATGGATCAACATCAAACTTTATCGCTTTACTCAAGATGAATTTCTTAGTCCTCTTTCCTGTCGAGTCAGCCATAGAGGATGCTTCTGAACCAATATTCTGGGAAGAGGTAACTTTGACAAGACCCTCCTGTCCTTGTATTTTTGGCGAGGAGGTAGATTTTGACGTAACCGAGCCCTCTTTCCTGGTGCTAGAGCTAAACCAAGAACCTCGATTAATCTTGTCTGTTTTTTCAAAATACTCCTCTTCAAATTCGTAAAAGTAATAACCATCAATGAAGCCATGCCTCAGTTCTACGTGCTTGAATAGCCCTTTGCTCAAAAGACCCTGTCCATAATTCACTGCTGCTTCTCGTGTGTCGATATCTTCAAAGCAATCAACAATCCATGTCACAAGCTCACTTCCAATAAAACACAGCAAATGCTTCTTGAAATGCCATGTTCTGTCTACAAGTTTCAATCCTGATTGTGGATTTTGCAACTCCAGCGCCAATTCGGAAAACTTGATACTCCTGTTGAAGCGCATATGTTCGGGAATCATCAATGTTGGCTGGTTCCCAGTTAGATCGTAATTTTCGACTTCGTTAGATAAAAAGTCATAAAGGTTACCAGTGTAGAAATTAACGTCGGAGAAGCGATCTGCAGTTTTCGGTTTGGATGGGTCTTTTTGATACTTGCCCTTTTCGATAACCGCTATCAATTTCCTTAAACCTTCAACTCTTATTTCCTCGGCATTCAAATGCTCATTACTCAAATAGTATGCATTCTTGGGGATTTCAGTAGGCATCACCACAAACTTCATCTTGTGAAATTCCTTCTTGTCGTCCGCCAATGCGTCATCAAACCCAGCTAAAAACTGGTCAAACTGATTCCAATTATACTTTTGTGGGAACTTGGCAATTGCATCCACTTGCGATGGGGAGTAATCATCGGCATATCTTGTTCTAATCAACGGGAAATAAGGTTGACTAATGCGTTGCCCTAAAGTTATTTTCTTTTCCTCATCTTTGATGGTTTTGCGATATAGCTGAACGTTCAAGTTACCATTGTAGTCACAAAATATACGATGGATTTCATCATCCATGGACATGTATATCCTCGAACCGAGGTAATTATCGTCCGGGAAATACTTGATAATGGATTCGGCGTTCCCGGCTGGTTTTCTCTCGACCTCTGCTTTACTCACTCGATCGCCGTAACAAATTTGAAACCCCAGCATCAATCGCAATTGAATCATTTCCCTCATAAGCTCTGGAGTTGTTTTCAACTCTAAGTAATTTTCAGTGTTCAAGTACACCGAGTAGTTTTGGAATGTGTAATCCAGTTGAAGCTGCTTCTGGCTAGGAAACACTCCTGTCGTGATTGGTAATGCTGCTGGTGCTTGGAATGATCTCCATTTTATCAATTTACGCTGGATTTTGTCTGGAAATAGATTACTCCATCTGCTAACGTGTGACTTTTGAAGAACATTATTTGTAATTTCTCTTGAAGGGTTGCAAATCTCAATCCATAGGGAATTATATTGAGATGTCTCTTCAGTTTCTGTAACCGAAGCAAGTTTCTCTCTAGGAGCTGGTTTCAGTTCATTGTGCTGCTTACGAGGATTTTCCGCTTTTTTGGAAAATAGGGTATCTGCTTTAATGATTCTAGGAGATTGCGAGTCTTTGTGGTAAGTTTCAATATGGCCACCTTGAATTGACCTTGGAACACTTTTCAACAGTGATGCTGGTGATGGTGTTGATGTTGGTGCCTTTTCTTCACTGTACTTGTTGATATTGTATAATCTTGATAATGCAGAAATTTCACCGATGGGGTGAGCCACGGTCCCTACTGCAGCCGAGTTAGTTGTCAAGTTATTTGCTGGAAGTAATGAAGTTTTGTCATTGAATATTAAGGATAGCGTCGCCTTTGAATCTCTTACAGATGGTGCCTTGAACTTTGGTTCGGGGATATTGAACTCCAAATTTGGCGCTTCTTTCTTCCTCTGAATAGGCAGAAAAATCGACTCATCATATTTTTCCATCGAATCAATCAATGAATCACCATGTGATTTCAAATATAATCGTGATATACGTGCATCGCTGGCCTCATTTTCCATAACGCCCATCATTTGCAATTCGTAAATCTTGCATCTTGGGATCCATTGCGAAACCCCATCCAGTTTCTCCTTGAAAAAAGAGATATCACACCATATAGGCACACAATAGCTAACTTTTCCATCCCTGATAAATCGGAATAATGGTGTTACATGTAAAGGTGGCTGACTCAAGCACACAATATCAAGGCTAGAGTCTATACTCGACATTTTCTTACTTGTCTCGAGGAGTAAGTTGTAATCAACGTCAAACAAACCTGTACCGGGTGTGATTAGTATAAAATGATTAAGTGAATGCTTTAGATCTGTATTTCTAAACCGGTCACTTAACAGGACCAACCCAACATTTACAGCTTCGAGGGCGTTTCCCTTGACCGAGGGCAACATTTGTCCCTCCAAAACATAGTTGGAATCTTGTCCATGGTTTAGCATACAATCACGTTTAAAATTTGCAAATTCGAGTCTCAAATTTGCCATGATACGGTCCCAATGGACAATATTAACTTGGTCCACGACGACTCTAAAATAGTCGCGGCGTTGGGACGGGCGTTCACCAGGTAGAAGGTTTGTCCATGGAACATTCGTGAGATCCACGCTGGTGAACAATACGATTGTTATTGAGTGATGGGTTCCCTTGTCTCGCCAACGTCGAAAAATCTTTGGGAACAAATTGTTTACCAACTTATGAAACATGATCTCCCCATTCTCTTCAAAGTTCCACATTTCTCGTGATAGCTGGATAAGCACTGTAAGTTTGGCGCTTTTGCTTCTATAAATGATCTTTGTTTCTTTGTTGATGTAGCCGGAGAACACCTTCTTGCCGTTTTTGTACATGTATCGCACGGTTCCGGTTCTGTTATTAAGAAAAGAAAGCCTTTGGTCGGTGTAGCAGCAGTTACCAACCAATGAAGATGAAAATTGCCACATAGCATCTCTTGACAAGTTTACATCCTTAATGAATATTTCCATGGAGTCGACAACAACTGCATCCAAATTGGTAACACGTCGTACTTGTACCGCACTTCTCGGAGCTATATCTAGTAACCTCTGGAATGGATTTGATTGTAATGATATTTGTGAGTGCGATTGCGATTGCGATTGCTGTTGTTGTTGTGGTTGTTTCAGTCTGGAGTCTAAGGGTTTCAATTCAGGCGTTTCTTGGTGCTCTCGTATATTTCTTGGACCTAATTTAAACACTAGTTTCTTAGGTGCATTTGACTCGATGCTCTGTAGTTCATATACCTGGCCAGGTGCAACGCCACCAGGAAACGTATTGGAATCAAGTAGTATATCCTCATGTGTTGTACGAAGCTCATGAAACCAAAGATTCAATTGAATCACTGCCTTGGGTTCTTCGGTGTTGCTGCCTATCCTCTTTAAAGCAAGATCATGCCGTTTTGCTGGCTCAATATTATGATTATTCTGTCGACTCACTGTTATTGACGCTCCAGATGATTTATTGATCAGTAGTTGGTTGGCTGGTACGGCACGTTTCAAGCCCACTGTTATACTTGATTGGTTGGCACTCATGCGGCCCAGAAGCAAATTGGATTGCGTAGCTTGTGAATTGTTGGTATTTGAGTTATTGGTTGACGAGCTCGTTAGTCTAGCATGTTGCATTGTACCACTATAGAGATATAGTAAATAAGGAAGGGTTTTTGCTTTTGATGTAATTTTTCAGGGCCAGTCTCCCACTCGCGCAGATTGCAGGATTGTTATTATTATATTATAGTATCTATTTACAACACAAACTCGTCTATAAACCATTGATGAAACCTATTATCGTCTGATAATTCAGGGTGGAACGAAGTTCCTAGTGTACGACCCTGTCTCACAGCCACAATAAGTTGATTTTCCTTCCCATCGTAGTTTTGCAACTGATACAATACCTCGACTGGTGCTTTGTTGACGTAGCTGTTCTTTGACCTCACAACCTTGTTTGGTGCAGATGCAAGCCCTTCTCCGTTAGTCAAAATCTTGGTCACTACCGGTGCTCGTATAAAGACAGTGGGGAAGTTATGACACCCAGGTATAAATCCACTAAAATCTAATTTCTGCTCAAACGAATCAACCTGTCGACCAAATGCGTTCCTGCTCACTTGTATGTCCAATCCACCCAAACATGTTTGGTTATCTACGGCATTTTCTATCTCCTTTGCGAGAAATATCAAGCCTGCACAAGTACCCCAGATAGACTTTGACTCATTGGAGACGAAATCGTACAAATGCGGAAGCAAATTCGTTCTTTCAGCAATATATGACATGGAACTACTTTCACCACCAGGGATCACCAATGAGTCGCATTTCTCGAGGTCCTCTTTGGTTCGAACTGCAATTACGGCGATAGAATAATTGGAGTATTTTTCTTCATTTTGCTGAATAACTGAGTTGAAATAGTTGATATGCTCCCTGAATGCACCCTGGAGAGCAAGTACCCCGAGTGTGATTGGCTTGGCTATAGTCATTATGTATACTGATCTTTCAATGGTTGTAGGAGATATTGATATCAATCAAGACTTTCTGTTCAATTTGACTCGGATCTTTTTTTTCTTTTCTTGAAGTTCTTCTATTCCTGCACAAAAGTCAAAATCTTTGAATGAGAAAGCTTGGGTTAATATTACCACTACTGAAGAGAACTACGGCAGCAGCTGCTAAACGCTATAATAGTGTGTTACCAACGGCGTTCGATGTCCTAAAGAGGAGAGAAAAAAATGAATCCTGGAGTTTTGCGTCGGAAACAGCACACAAAAACCAAACGGATCACATAAGCGCATACTTATTGAATTTGGGCCGAGAACAACCGTACATTGGAAGAGAAGAATAAATGAGTCAGAGATAGTGACCTTTACAATAGAGTTTTATAGATAAAACTCAGAGATTTACTGGATGCGCCAATCTTTCAGTAAAGTAAGTACTAGAATCGGACACTCAGTAAAGTAGGTGGGAGATATTTAGAGTTAATTACTGGTGTGTGTGTGTATGTGTGTGGAGAGATATACAGATGTATGTTTAAAAATAGATTGTTATAAAAAGAAGTCAAAAACAAAATGAAACAAAATGAAAAATTTTTGGTAGAAAGAAAATTTGAGTTTTTGTGTTTCTCTTTTATTTAGTGTCTCTGAGAGTAATCAATTGTCTCTGAACATTTTTCATTCAGTCATAGAAATTAATTTTTGATCACCTTCATTTTTAATATAAAAGAACATATCTGAGTCGTATTTCTTTATCATACTACAATTGACCGGTTAGTCATACATACCTACATACAACAGTAATAGCACAATGTCTGAGTTGAAGATCAAAGAAGGTTTGGCCAAGATGTTGAAAGGTGGGGTTATCATGGATGTGGTCAACTACGAACAAGCCAAGATTGCAGAAAGAGCCGGTGCCTGTTCCGTCATGGCTCTTGAAAGAATTCCTGCTGAGATGAGGAAATCAAACCAAGTATGCAGAATGTCAGATCCACAGATGATCAAAGAAATTATGCAAAACGTCCAAATACCGGTTATGGCTAAAGTCAGAATTGGACATTTCGTTGAGGCCCAAATTTTGGAAGCCTTGAAGGTCGACTACATTGATGAGAGTGAAGTTTTGACTCCTGCTGACACTGTCGATCACATTGACAAGAACAAATTCACCGTCCCATTTGTATGTGGTGCAAGAAACTTGGGTGAAGCATTGAGAAGAATAAATGAGGGTGCTGCCATGATCAGATGTAAGGGTGAAGCTGGTACTGGTGATATTTCTTCCGCTGTTGACCACATCAAGACCATTACCAAGGACATTCAAGAAGCATGTCAATTAAAGACTGATGCGGAGAGACAATCATTGGCTAAAGAATTGAGAGTTCCAGTTGAATTGGTAAACACTGTTGTCGAATTGAAAAGATTGCCTGTTGTCACTTTTGCCGCTGGTGGTGTTGCCACTCCTGCTGATGCTGCATTGTTGATGCAATTGGGATGTGATGGAGTTTTTGTCGGATCAGGTATTTTCAAATCCCTGAACCCTGAAAAGCTTGCTACTGCTATCGTTAATGCTGTGACTCATTATGATGACCCAATCAAGTTGTTGGAATACTCGACCGACTTGGGTGAGTTGATGCCTGGTATCTCTGTTGATTCCATCAAGGAAAATGAAAAATTGGAAAAAAGAGGTTGGTAAATAGCATGTTAGGGAGGAAATTTATTTTGTTCTAGCAACACGTGACGCTTGTTTATAGTTTACATATAATGCTTAAAATATCATAAACCTTATTTTATAATTCCATTTTAGTCACGCCATACTGATGCTTGTGATACTACTTTTGTAGCTGTGTGCATTCTAACTCCAGTACCTAGCTGGTCCATCTATGTTGAAGCAAAATGGAGGGATGCTTGGATTGAGTAAGATTGATTTGAACTGGCTGAATTTGGACAAGCTTCTTACTTTTGCCAGCAAATTAGGGTTGAAAAAATCGAATGTTGAAAGTTAAAAGCCCCTGGCCAAGTCTTAAATGAGATTCCACTCTTTCAACACTTTTCTTCAGTTACAGTTGAACACTGGTTTGTATATGACCTCATTTATTGGGATCTAAAGTTGATTTTCCCCTGTGGTTGGCTGAAGAACTGCCAAGTATAAAGTTAGTTCCATTAACCTAAATTGGAAATATTAGCGAAAGAGAGTGTGCTAAATGCGGTTCAAGTGCAGCGCAATTTCCATAGTTAATATGTTGTATCGGGCAACACAGCTTTGTGTTGATGATATGCTCGTTACTTCTAGTCTCTAATTGAAAGCAACTTTGTGTGGGGAATTGCATAAATGGAAATGGGAGATGATTTCGATTGCAAAATTCCGTTGGTTCCAAGGAAATTTAAGTGGCTAGATTTAATGCCTATAACATCTTTAGCATGCCTAAATTCCGCTCTAAATATTCCGAGAATCTTGAATTCCGTGTCATTTAGTCACAAATCAGTTCGAATATTGAACCAGGATATGTAAGAGGATGCTTCACTTCTCCACATTTTGAAGTCTAAATCGTGTGATAGTATACCTCTTGGGGACATCAAACCTTGACATAAATAGTCGACAATATCTCTTGATGAGAGGGAGAGGTGGAAAGAAGCTAAATCTAGCAACAGATGATGAAGTTATTCAATAAAGAAGGTAGTGAAACGGTCGATGTCGAGAGGGTATCGGATCCTGAAATTGAAAAGGTCGAAACACAACACAAAGATTTCTACGACAAGATTGATGTTGAAAAGCATGGAGAAACTCAAAGAAGGATTACTCCGCGTCATGTGAGTTTGATGATCATTGGCCAATCCATCGGTAGTGGATTATTCCTCGGTGTGAGGTCGCCTTTGAATAAAAGTGGATCTTTATCTTTCTTCTTGGCATTTGCCATATGGGCGGTCTTTGTTGTTTATCCTTTAATGCAGGTTGTTGGTGTTATATGTTGTTACCTACCCCTCAAAGGTTCCTTCATTCATTATAGTGCCAGGTATGTTGACCCTGCCCTTGGATTTGCTTCGTGTATAATCTACATATATACGTGCATGATGTTTGTTTGTCTTGAAGCTACTGCTGTTGCTCAGGTTATTAGATTTTGGACCGATGTTAACCCTGGTGTTTGGATTACCATTTGCATAGTGATATATCCCATAATTGGTGTTTTTGGGTCTAACATCTACGGAGAAGTAGAGTTTTATTCATCTATCTTAAAGTTGATTATGGTCATGGGATTGATGCTCTTTTCCCTTATATCCATGTGTGGTGGAAATCCTCAAGGAAATGCATACGGGTTTCAGCATTGGAAAGAAGGTGGCTTGTTCAGAGAATACTTGGTTGATGGAAGCACGGGGAAATTTTTGGCATGGTGGAGCTCATTGTTGTGGGCAGCCTTTGCAGCTGGTGGTCCCGACGGATTAGCCATGCTAGCAGGTGAAATCAAGCGTCCCAGAACAACCATGGCCAACGCAGCAAAGAGAACCTACATTCGTGTTTACATCTTTTATGTCGGGGGCATGTTTTTCCTCTGTTGTCTTATTTCGGCTGTTAATCCCAAATTAGTTGAGCAATTGCTGGTAGGCTCTAATTCCTCGGCTGGATCACCATGGGTGATTGGCATTGAAGATGTTGGGGTCAAGGGTTTGGCTTCCGTTATTAATGCAGGGATAATGATGTCGGCATTCTCTTGTGGTAATGCTTTTTTTTACTGCTCTGCTCGATCAATATACAGTGCTGCTTTAGGAGGCTACTTGCCTCGCTTCTTAGCCAAATGCTTGCCCAATGGCTCACCTATTTATTGTGTTCTTATCACTTTTGCTGTTTCTTTGATCTCCTATTTGAATGTAAATGAAAGTGGGGCAGTTGTATTTAATTGGTTTGTTAACTTATGTGCTACTGGATTATTGTTGACATACATTTGTATATGGTGGTCTTACTTTCAATTTCGTAAAGCTTGGGAATGCCAACACCAAGCCAAAATGAAGCATCCAGAGTATCCATACTTCTTGTGTCCTAAGTGGATGCATCCTTTTATTACATATTTGGGATTGGCACTAACGGTTTTGGTGGTTTTCTTTAATGGATTTTGGATATTTTTCCCTGGCCAATTTAACGTATCCAATTTATTTACAAGCTACTTTGCACCGGTGTTTTTCGTTTGTTTATTTGTCTTTTGGAAAGTCGTCAAAAGAACCCATTTCAGAACTCCACCCACTGCTGATATCACTAGTGGTAAGCAAAAAATTGATGATGAAGAGGAAGCTGAAGAAAAGGAAATTTTTGAACAACAGCTAGCTTTTGAAGAAAGGGCAAAATGGTATCATAAAGCATGGCAAAAAATTTACGCTTTCTGGTTTACATGATAGGATCCACATTCAGTTTTATTTTGTATTAGTTTTGTTCATTTTGAATAGTTAACACTTGTTCATTGTATTATTGCTATGCAGCTCCTAATGAATAAAGGGCGATCTTGTAGTAGAGGCATTTGTGTATTAGTTAACCTTTGGCAGCTCATTGATCTTGTCTTCGCACGTAGTCCGTATCACAAAACCAATTTTGCACCCCACATGACAGACAATTTTGATTAGATAAATGACTTTCATTTAATTTGTGATTTTGTGCTCTGGTTTTAAAAGCATTCAGAAGGTTACTGATAGCCTAAATTAGCAGGGTATAGTATGGACAAACTTTTAAAGTATGTTAGACTTTGCAAAAGGTTAGATAATTTATAAACGTCTTAGTATAAAGATTTGCAATGTTTGTAGAAATTTCGTAACAAATTCCCCAAACTCATGCTACAGAAATTTTTCAAAAAATTGACACTGCTAAACCAAACATGGCTGTAAAATGTACACAATCCCTTTATTCAAAGTAGGCTTTTTAATTGTTGAGCAAAAATCTGCCTATGGAGATGTGGGCCATGCTTAAGGTAAAAAGTTTGAAGTCAAAAATATGAGACAGCGCTACCATTTATAGTGACTCCACATGTAATGCTAATTCATTTGCATTAGGTGTTTTAAAAGCCTAAATTTTCAAAACCATTTAAGCTTTATTATTGGTCGAATAGAGTTGGTAGATGGCTTAGCGGGTCGAAGGAATCACTTACGTTTCAAAAAAGTGGGGGTACTTGCACCAATCTCTTCGTGTTTCTCTCTCTGGTTACCTTATAATAAAGGGTATGAGAGAAACCAAAATAATTTCTAACGTAGATAATTCTAGTACTTATCATAAAAAATCTCAGCTCTCAAAAGAACCAAAGTTTAGAACTACTTTCAAAAGTTAATCAGCCCCACAAATACTAATATTTGAGGATAGATCTTTGCAAGCTTGAGAAATTAAATCCCTTGATTTAGATGAAACCTTTGTGAAAAGAATGAGAGTCATGCATGATTAAGTACACAGAAAAAAACATCTTTTATAATAAATTATCGACATTTCCGATGGTCCCACACTACCTTCGCAACATCCCTTAGAGAGCGTTTGATAGCACTTTTCTTTGCTTCTTCTAATTTTCCAAACATTACTGCTTGATAAAGGCGTTTGTGCTTTATTAATGCATGGCAGTTGTAAACGTTTAGCTTAAAGAAAAGAGGAAAAGCCGCATTTCAGCCGCTCCTAATTTGAATCCTCCTTGGATGATATATTCTCAATTGAAGAGCATATATGAATAAACTTCTAAGCGGTTAATGCATCACACCCATCTTACTTTTAGAAACCAACTTCATACACCAATGTCGTTGTCTCTTATTTTTCAAAGAAAAGTTACTAATTCATCCTGAAGGACCAAAAAATTAAAAAAATAAAAACAAAAAAAACTCTATACTTTGATACTCATAATTTGGTCAAGAACTTTGAAACAAAATTATGGGTGCTCAAGTAGATTTTCTTTTATTCCTCATCCAATGATTCCAACCCGACAATGATTCCGCTCCTATCGCTATAATAGATGCTTAATTCCGTGTTAGAAATTCTGAAAACCCACCAATTCCGTCTCACTTCATAAGATACATACTCTTTTTGCAATCCATGATAACAAAGATAACCTACTTCCCATTCTGGTAAAATAAGGAAAAGCTTATTTTGGGAAGAATCCAGCTTCATGATTTAAATATCTACCAAACTATCTTGTTTGCAAAAAATGTTACAAAGAGAGTAGGTAATTTCATCCCCAAAACAGTGCCAGGTATGACTGAATCCAACAAGAAAGACCAAGCAATAGTTGATGTTGAGAGGGCTTCTGGTCAAACTGATTCATTTGAAAAAGAACTGAACAAAGTTCAGTACAAGGATTTTGAAGATAGACTTGATCCAGAACGCTATGGGGAGACTCAAAGAAGAATGAATTCACGCCATGTGAATTTGATGATTATGGGTCAATCAATTGGTAGTGGGTTATTCCTTGGTATCAGATCCCCATTAAATACCAGTGGTTCATTGTCGTTTTTCTTGGCGTTTTCGTTATATGCAATTGTGGTTGTCTACCCATTGATGCAATGTATTGGAGTCATGTGTTCATACTTGCCAATAAAGGGAACTTTCATTCATTACAGTGCCAGATATGTTGATCCTGCTCTTGGTTTTGCGTCATCATTGATTTACATTTACACATGTATGATGTTTGTTTGTATTGAAGCTACTGCGGTGGCTCAGTTGATTGGATATTGGTCGGACCTCAATCCTGGGGTCTGGATTACCATCTGCATTTTGCTTTATCCATTGATTGGGATTTTTGGCTGTAACATATATGGGGAGGTGGAATTTTATTCTTCAATTTTGAAGGTATTTTTGATTATGGCATTGATGCTCTTTTCCCTTATATCCATGTGTGGTGGAAATCCTCAAGGAAATGCATATGGATTTCAACATTGGAAAGAAGGTGGTTTATTTAGAGAATATTTGGTTGGGGGCGATACTGGTAAGTTTTTCGCATGGTGGAGTTCTTTAATATGGGCAGCATTTGCAGCTGGGGGTCCCGATGGGTTTTCCATGCTTGCATCTGAAGTACAACGGCCAAGAACAACCATGCCCACTGCCGCAAAAAGAGTTTACATCAGAGTTTATTTGTTCTACATTGGTGGTGTCTTTTTTCTCAATTGTTTAATTTCGTCTGTGAATGACAGGTTGGTTGAGCAGTTAACGGCAGGCTCAACGACTTCAGCCGGATCTCCTTGGGTAATTGGAATGGAAGATGTTGGCGTCAAAGGCTTGGCATCAGTCATCAATGCGTGTGTCATGACCTCAGCATTTTCGTGCGGTAATGCATTCTTTTATTGTTCAACCAGGTCACTTTATAGTGCTTCACTAGCTGGCTACTTGCCCCGGTTCTTATCAAAGTGTTTGAAAAATGGTTCTCCGGTTTATTGCGTGCTTGTCACATTTGCCGTCTCGCTAGTTGCTTATTTAAATGTCAATGAGGACGGAATGGTTGTTTTCAACTGGTTTGTCAATTTATGTGCCACTGGATTATTGTTGGCTTATATATGCATGTGGTGGTCTTATTTCCAATTTCGTAAAGCATGGGAGGCCCAACACAAGACCAAAATGAGGAACCCAGAGTATCCATATTTTACTGGACCTAAATGGTTGCACCCTGTTTTGACTTATTTGGGTATGACGTTTACAATACTAGTGGTGTTTTTCAATGGCTTCTGGATCTTTTTCCCTGGAAACTTCAATGTGTCTAACTTGTTCACCAGTTACTTTGCTCCCGCCTTTTTTGTTTGCTTATTTTTGTTTTGGAAGGTGTTTAAAAAGACCAAGTTTCGAACTCCATTGACAGCTGATATAACTAGTGGTAAACAAAAAATTGACGACGAAGAAGAAGTTGAGGAAAGAGAATATGCAGCAAAACAGGCTGAATACGTCAATGCTGTATGGTATGTCAAAATATGGAGATGGTTCTACAACCTTTGTTTTAGTTAAGAGGTGTTTGGGCGAGAAGTATCTATTTTTATATGATGAAACCAACTCGTTGATAATTTATGTATTTGCTTTTTGTTTGATAATTTGCATCCAAACTCCTAGAAGCTGGACTCTTGTTGTTTGTATAAGTATAGTTGTCTAATATATATTAAATTGCAGTTTACGGTATAGAAGTACTACCGTACGTTTCTTTTTCGAAATTCTGATAAGTGGTGTCGCCCATGTTATCTTTCAACTCTCGAACAATTGTCCTGCCCATACGTGCAAAGACAAATTCAGCCAAGAAAAAAAGACCGGAGGAAAGAAAACGACGGAACGTGTGGATTAGAAAAGATAACATATGTCTATACGGAGAATATCGAAAACAATGGATTTTTATGAGCGGTTAAATTAAATTAATTTTGTTTCCTTTTTGAACAAAGATAAGAGACCGGAAAATTCTTTCTGAATGAGGCAGTCGCAATTCCGATAACAAAACAAGGGGAAAATTTTTTCCATTATCTATGGACTATTCCGTTATTCATTGCTCTGTAGTTTAATATCTAATGACGACACCCCTGTTAAAATTCCGTCGAACAAGATCAAATTCTATATGCAAATTGAGCTAACTCAGTCGTTTTAGCAATGTTATCATCAACAGTTTACCAATTGGAATACTTATTTTTAGAAGAGTAAAGTAAATCAGCTAGAACCTACCATATAAACCCCACTACGATTCTAGTTGAATCAAAATAAGAAGTGAAGAAAAGTCGTCATATTTTTCAGCATATTACAAAAACAATTCCTAAGACTCCATAGAGGTGTCAATCATGGGCAAAAAACAAGAAGCTGCCAATGTCGCAGTGGACATAGAAAAAGGGTCGATTGAATCAACTTCAGTTTCGTTAGCAGAAGAAGCAAATAATGGATTTCATTCAGGCGGTTTAGATGTCGAGACATATGGACAAACACAAAGAAAAATAACTCCCCGTCATATGAGTTTGATGATCATTGGTCAATCCATTGGCAGTGGACTTTTCGTTGGTGTGAGGTCGCCTTTGAATACAAGCGGTTCATTGTCCTTTTTCTTGGCATTTAGTGTATGGGCAATATTGGTGATTTACCCATTGATGCAATGCGTTGGTGTGATGTGTACCTATTTGCCCATCAAGGGTTCCTTCATTCATTTCAGTGCCAGGTATGTTGATCCAGCGTTGGGCTTTGCTGCTAGTATTATATACATATATACGGCAATGATGTTTGTTTGTCTTGAAGCGACAGCAGTGGCTCAAGTTATAAGCTATTGGACTGACGTGAATGCAGGAGTATGGATAACCATTGCCATAGTTGCTTATGTATGCATTGGGTTAGTGGGAGCTAATGTTTATGGCGAAATTGAGTTTTTTGCATCATTATTGAAAGTGTTTTTGATTTTAGGATTGATGCTCTTTTCACTTGTTTCTATGTGTGGGGGTAATCCACATCACGATGCGTATGGATTCCAGCATTGGCGAGAAGGTGGGTTGTTTAGATCTTATTTGGTTAGTGGTGGTACAGGTAAGTTTCTAGGATGGTGGAATGCATTATTGTGGGCTGCTTTTGCTGCTGGGGGACCAGATACTTTGGCATTGATATCTGGTGAAGTAAAACAACCAAGAAAAACCATAAGCTCAGCAGCCAGAAGAACTTATATTCGAATTTACTTGTTTTATATCGGAGGCATTTTCTTTTTGAATTGTTTAATTTCATCAGTTAATCCAAAGCTTGTTAAACTGTTGACCACAGGAGCACAATCCTCAGCTGGATCACCTTGGGTTATTGGTATTGAACAAGTTGGGGTTAAGGGGTTAGCATCATTAATTAATGCTGCCATCCTTAGTTCAGCTTTCTCTTGTGGCAATGCCTTCTTCTACTGTTCTACAAGATCAATTTACAGTGCTGCATTGGCTGGTTACCTCCCCAAAGTTTTTGTTAAGTGTTTAAAAAATGGATCACCAGTCTATTGTGTTGGTTTAACTTTTGTCGTGTCATTGTTGGCATATTTGAATGTGAGTGAAGCTGCAACTAATGTGTTTAATTGGTTTGTTAACTTAGCAACCACTGGATTATTGTTGGCATATATATGCATGTGGTGGTCATATTTCCAATTTCGCAAAGCATGGGAGTATCAGAACAGTAGCAAAATGAAAAAACCTCAATACCCGTACTATTTGTTTGCTCAGTGGTTGCATCCAATAATAACTTATTCCGGGTTTGCATTAACAATCTTGGTACTATTTTTTAACGGATTTTGGATCTTTTTCCCACACCAGTTTTCAGTGGCTAACTTATTTACCAGTTATTTTGCGCCCGTGTTTTTCATTTGCTTATTCGTGTTTTGGAAATTGTTTAAAAAGACTAAATTTGTATCTAAAGAAACGGCGGATATAACAACAGGCAAACAGGAGATTGATGAAGAAGAAGAAGTGGAAGAATTGGAGTATCAAGGAAAACAAGCTCAATATGAAAAAGCAGCAGGGTATAAAAGAACGTGGCGAAAGATATGTAACTTTTGTTTTACTTGATCCACAGATAAAGTGGTGCCATTTGTATTAGACGGTATATATTAAACTATTTAGATAAATTGATGTTTGTTTACTGGTAAGTCTGATAATTATAATAAATCTTTGTTTAGGTCTTGATTTTTCTAAAAAATTATTTGATTCTATTATTGAAGCAATGCACCCTCACATCCACACTTCAGCCCCCCTCCCCTTATAGTCACCGAATTTCCAAAATAACAGGACTAATTTTTAACGAAGATAAATAAAGCAGTATAAACACCCGAGTTCTTAAAAAATCCATCCCAAGAATTTCTCATAGAACCACTCCTTGTCATATTTAATTCCTTCTGCTTCTCTAACTGCTTTTCTCTCAGCATCTTCAGCTTCATATTGCGAAAATTCAGCATCAACCACATCTCTGAATGTGTCCAAGTCAACCTCAGTTGGCGATAACCATTTGGTCTTTTTCCAAAACTTGTATCCAAAGAAAAAAATGAAAAACACAGGGAGAATAATGTATCCAGTGATGAAATTCTTGTAAGTGAAGGAATCACCAAGGAACACGGTGAAGTTCTTGATCAAAATGACAATGCAACAAACTCCTAAACAAACATAACTGGCATAAGGCTGTAAAGGTGAACGGTATACCGTATCCTTGCTTCTGTCGAAACCTTGGGCTTTTAATGCTTTCATGAACCCAATATGGAATGTGAGAATACAAGACCAAGCAATCAAACCGGTTAATGAAACGACATTGACAAAATATTCGAAAACTTCGGCTGATCCAGATGAGACATTCATGTATGCTAACAAGCAGAACAAAAACGATACAAGAAGTCCGTAGTATGGAACACCCAACTTGTTTGTCTTGGTGAAAAATTTAGGTGCATAACCATCAGCAGCTAATGAGTACAAGGCTCTACTGCAGACGTAGACATCCGAGTTTGCAGCTGACATGACAAACAACAAGATGCAAGCATTGATGACATGGTCCAATCCATCGATCTTGGCATTCTTGATGGCGATAACAAAGGGTGAAGCACCGGCATTAGTTCCTTTGGCATTTAATAATAATGGGTCTTTAGCAGAAACACACATACCAACAAACAAAATTGACAAGACGTAGAACACAAGGATACGATATAATGTCAATTTGACTGCTTTTGGAATAGCTCTTCTTGGATTTCTTGTTTCACTAAAAGTAATGGCCACCAATTCAGTTCCCAAATAAGCAAACACTGCAGTAACCAACACAGCAACGAATGACACAAATCTTCCTGTTGATCCACCAATGAAAAGGTTTTTAGATGAGTCGGTATAGTGAATGAAGGCACCAGGGTCGTTCCAGAATCTAAACCCAATTCTATCATGAGTTGGTCCACCACCCAATGCAATAACCCATAAAAGAATAATCAATCCTAAACAAGTCACAACCTTTAATGAACTCAACCAAAACTCAATTTCCCCGAAGAAACGCACACCAAGGAAGTTAATAACCATAATTACAACAAGGAACACGGTAATCCATACTCCCGGATTAACTCTGTCTCGATCTACCCAATACTGCATCGTTAAAGCGCCAGCAGTAAGTTGATTAGCTGGCAAGATCAAGTATTTAATCAAATAAGTGTATCCACAAGCGAAACCGAGCGCTTCATCACAATATCTCTTACCGTAGTTGGCGAACCCGTTTAACGGCACCCAACAGGCAATTTCTCCCAATGCAGTCATGACAATATATACAACGAATCCGATAGCACCATATGCCACTAGAATGGCCCCAGGACCTGCTGTTTTCAAAGCACTACCGGTACCAATCAATAAACCAGTACTAAAAAAGGGACAGTTAGTAAAAAGCTTGAACAATTTTTCATAGTGGGTCTATTAGTTTTAGTGATACATTTCATTGACTAAATCTTTGTTTGTGCAAGTGAAGTTCTGATCTGTGTACGTTAATTGATATGCAAAACGCCGTACAGAGTCTGAAACAGGGAAAAACCTTTCTCAAATGAGGCTTATGTTGTGTTGTATGCAGTATGATTCCCCACCATTTTTCCCTATTCTCGAACTTCACAGGTTTGTGTAATATAAAGGAAGTTTCAGTCACGACAGTCAAAGTCCGAGTCAAGAATTTTTCTCTTTTTTTTAGTCCTGTACAATCCGACCCGAAGCTTTCATATGGTTTCCAAAAATGCAGAAAATCGCCAGTTTGTTGTATCACACTCTCTTTGAACCCCAAGTAAATAATAAAAAAACATACCCTAAAGCCCCACCAAGGGCAATCATACTGACATGCCTTGAATCTAAAGCTTGTCTTAATTTATGGCCATCAGTTTGAATGATTGCTGATGGATTGGATTTGGCCACGAATAAATCATAATCTTCTGTATGCCTTGAAACAACACTTTTTAACTCATCGTCATTGGAAAAAGATCCAATATTCTTTTCACTTTGAATGGACTGCTCTCCGTCTCCTATCAGTTTATTATTACTTCTGAAGATCATTTATCTTTCTTGGTATTGAGATTGTGAAGTTGTAGTAGTTTTAAAGTAAAAAGAACAGGATAATTATATGAAAAAATTTTGCTTGGTATATATCTATAGTTGATTTCTTGGAGACTTGAGGTTTGTTGCTTTTATATTTATATGTGAAGATACAAATGTCATCAATTAATTTATATATGTGGGGAGAAGGGTGAGATGGGATTTTATATGTGTAAAACCGCCTACATTAAACACAAACAAAAGTCATATTGTTTGGGTATTTGTGTACATCTCGTAGTAACAAATAAAAAGATCAGGCGTCTATTTTGTTTAACAGATTGGTTTTGGTAACTTTTTAACCCATTCTTTTCCATTCTTTTGTTGTTCTTTTTTGATACCAAAATAAAATAAAAAAATTAAACAATCATTCTTTTTCCTTCAACACAAAACAAGTTGCTATTTACTTTTTAGTCGTATCACACTTCCCGAGGAGAAACAAAGTAGAGCAAAATTTTAGCATAAATTTACACGAGTATAAAAGAGCAGATAGTTTTACCTATTATACATGCTAAGACCGTTGCTGCTATTGCTGTACTAGTGTAGATATGTTACCAGTTACTCTTTGAGAGTATATTTATGATCCTTAACTTTCAACATTCTCGTAAGCAAGGCTTTCTATTGATGATGATGGTAAATCACAGGCTAAGAAAAAAAAAATAAAAATGTTTTTTCTTTTTTATCGCCAAGAAAAAGGAATTTTACAAAAAGGTGTTTTGTGTAATTATATATCAGATTGCCGTGTAAAGTTGATTATCGCTATCTCTATCTTTCTCTATCTATATACCTTATTGTTTAATCTACAATACTATACAATAGTTGGCTCAAGAGGTAGGCGATTGAAAGTCCACTTAACTTTCCGGGCCTCAATCTTCTATATTGATTGAACAAAAGACTAACATTCTGAACTACATGATGCTTGACCATTGAGAGTCACTCTAAGTAAAAGAGATAGCGTTACTCAAAAACCTTGGAGAATAAGAATCGTACATACGTTTGAGGTCCTTCTGTTTAATGTTTTGCCATCTAACAAAATTCTTTGAATTTCTTTTTACAAGTAGGATCAAAATCACGACATTTGATCATCAGGAGTGCAGCAGCAAAAGTTTGTTTTCTGATCCAGAGAACAAAAGCGTTCCCTATTTCATAACCAAATTCCTTTCATCTTTCTAACTACATAAACACTTTCTGTATATAGTATCCCCCTTTATCTCTCTCCCGTTGTGGTTACTATAGTAATCCGAGTCCAGTAAGGAGAAATGTGTCAAAAATAAAATGACATCAAAGCCAAGCAAATACTTTATTTTGCATTTAAACAATCAAGAATTGAAGAGTTTATTTATAGAAACATAAGAAGCTTTACCTTTATGCAAACTGTACCTCAATTGGTGCACTTTGCTAATTGATATTGATTCCATGATTTTGTTATTTGGAGTCGACGCCTGAGAGTGTGTTGTAGTTTTGACGCCACATATTACAAAGTTTTTCATATAAGGTACAAGATGAACTGATACCCCACCATTTACATCTACACGATTGTGCACCAGTTTAACACTTTTGTTAAGACATCTATTAATAGCCTTCCACAACCACATAAAGAATCTAACTCCTGTTTCAACCATTTTGCATACTTCTCTCACGGAACAGATCCCTAACAAGAAACAAATTCACCCCCGCAATAAAACACAAACAATAAAAAACCAAACGTATTTGTAATTTACGGCATTGTGAGAAAATAAATGTGGTTTTTTTTCCAAGCTTCACTAACATACGTTAAATATTCAAAACTCCGAATTCATACTAAAAATCTGTTGGCGTTTTGCTTCATGAACAGTGTGTTAAATTTAATAAACTATGCATAAATATTCTTTGAGCGGTTTAATGTAAAAGAAAAAAAAGGTGGGGTTGCTTTTTCTTTTTCCTAACACTTTCACAAAGATTCAAGAATGCCTCAAAGAAGATGCAGTGAAGTTCTCAAAACATCACTCACAGCGATAGGACTATCGTGGCTTTCATTAGTCTATCCCCTTTGTCAAATCCCACCCCACATTTATGAATCTGTCCATGTGTGTTCTTGTTTTCTCACCTGCAAACAATACAGCACAAAAAGTACTTAGCAGAAGCCTGGCTAAACAATAGGAAATAATTTGGCGAGAATAGTAGGCTACGGAGAACTATAGATGCCGAGGAAGTGGTAACCTTTCTCAGTGGTCATTTTTTATTTGCGATGTTTCTTTTTTTTCGAGGACGAGTCCTGTGCTTTGTATATGGAGTAGCTTTTGGAAATACGGGAGAGTACGCCTCCCCTGAATGATAACTGAATCAGACAAATGTGTAACTAATGTATTTGAGGATGTTAATATCTAATGCAAAATTAGCCCCGTGAGAGGAAAATTCTTTTTGACCTCTATGGAATACTCTAGGCTGTCCTTTAGTGCCGAGAGCAGGTGTCTGCGATTTTTGCAAAAGCTTATGTTAAGTAGAATACCTCTTCTTGAAAATTGATTGAACTATTGTCATTCTCCAAACCTCCTGCAACCAGGCGTAAGCTTAATCGCATAGTGAAACAAGAACAGATCTTATAGTAGTATCTAAAAATATCATTTTACTATTTTGGGACCCGAATTAGGACTCGCCAATCAATAACAGCATAACCTTTACTACTTGTGGGGAAGCAAAATTAAGCGAAACTTTCGTTACGCAAAATGCCGGGTTGATCGAAATGGTGCCCCTCAATTAAATACTCTTTTCATTCGCCTTCCCAAACTTTTTAGAAAAGACTAGCCCAACTAGTAAATGCATTTAAAGAGGGGTAATAAAGCTGAATAATATTCATCAAAAATTACTTCGAAGGAATGGTTGCTTGTTTTGCAGTCAAAATATTTTATACTTTATTTTATTCTTGGGTACCTCACACTCGCTTTTAGAACGACTTGGCAAAAAGCAAGTGGGAGGTTGAAGCAAGAAACGTATTACATACAATTCTAAGCGTTGGCACTGTTGCTATTTAAGGTAACCGCGACTTGAAGTGACAACTTTAATATAAACTCTCTTATCCCCCTCGGTGAATATAAACATGGCGCATGGTACTTTAAGGGTATGGTCTAGTCTAGTCTAGAGGTTAACGTTTGTGGTAATGTAAAGCAATTTACTACCTCGCACTTTGTTAAATTATGCATCCCTCACTCCTTGTTGCAAATTTTCATTTCCCTCTGAAGTACTTCTCGCGACGACAACGGGCCAAGAGCTCATCACTAGAAAATTTTGTTGCATATACAGCCCCTCTAGCCCAATAGGCAAATTTATTAAATTGACATCTCCAACGCCATTGTACGGCGATTTTGTAAGAAATCTTTATTTCTTCGTGATCATTATTTTCTTCTGTTTTTTTTTTCTTGGGCTAAAAAAACAGTTGCAAAATTGAAACTCCCCGGAGGTAATGTCTTGCAGATAGCGAAAGATAAGATAAATTGGATAGAGATAACACCACAATCAAAGATGAGTTTCGATTTTGTTATACCTTGGTTTTAGATACCAGAATTTGATTGAACTTTGGATGTCACCGCACCATCGTATACACATTTACTTTTGACAATCTTTCAACAACTAAAACCAACGAGTGAAGCTCAAAAACTACAACCCAATTTGAGTCAAGCTCAGTTCTCTTCTAATGTTATCTCATCTGCGCAAGAGTTAAAAATGGTTTTCAAAGTCAATAACATACATACGCCTTAGAAGCATTTTGTGTAACACTACGCCAATTTATTTTTATTTTTTCTTCACGGAACAGTAGAAGAATGTTTTGATCTATTATTGGCACTCAAAATCAATCAATGTTGTTAACCCATTTGAAATTAAGTTTTCACATTCTCTGATTTTCCTTAAAGCACAGGCTCTAATTATATCACACTTCGAATGTCTTGGCCTTTCTGTATTGGTGCTATTTCTTCCCGTATATAAAGCAACAAGGATGCGCTCAACAAGAGCTTCATTAAAAGGAAACTTAGTTACCCCTACAAATAGACAATGACTATTGATTCTACTAACCTGAAACATGATACGGGGATTATGGAGAAAAATGTGGGAACATTTGCTCAAGAGGAAGATTTAAAGAGTGTTGTTTCAAGACATACAGCCGAATACGATTTATTTGTTGCTAAATCCAATCCATCAGCAATCATTCAAACTGATGGCCATCAGTTGAGAAAGGCTTTGGATTCAAGACATGTTAGTATGATTGCTCTTGGTGGAGCTTTAGGGTATGTGTGCCACTGAAATAGGTGATTCAAAGTACCGGCTAATATATGGAGTGTTCTATGACAACCAACTGCAAAAGAAAAAATTAGACTGTCTTAGGTACTCATAGGATGACAATCAAAAGCGATGGCAATAAGGAAAATAACTTACTAACTGTCCTTTTTCTAGTACTGGTTTATTGATTGGTACCGGTAGTGCTTTGAAAACAGCAGGTCCTGGGGCTATATTGGTAGCCTACGGTGTCATTGGGTTAGTGGTCTACATAGTGATGTCCGCTTTGGGAGAAATTGCCTGTTGGGTACCAATGAATGGATTTGCCAACTACGGTAAGAGATATTGTGATGAAGCGCTCGGTTTCGCTTGTGGATACACTTATTTG